TAATCCTGTGTGGTATAACGATTATATCTTTTTTCCGTGTGTAAATGGATAAAGCGCATAGCGATCAAGGAATTTATGTGTTATACGTGAAGAGAATTCTCGTGTTCCAATTCTTTTTTCGTATTCCATAGACGAGATGTATTACGTGTGCGTGGCCTCGAGTTTTAGACGACTCGTGCAAGGGACGATTGTATAATCATCGTTATGCATTCCGGCAAAATTTCTCTAATTCGTAAATTTAAATTCCTCGCTCGAGGCATTTTGGCCTTGTATAAATTATCAGCAATTGTAATGCAATATCGTCCTCTGTAGCGGACAAAATTGATTCGCGGAAATCAACTCGTGTGTAATCTCGGCAGCGTACTTTTGAGAAGCACATAATTATAATACGATGTCACGTGAATAAAATAATTTACAATTGATTTAACTTTGTGATATTTCTCTGCGTTTTTTAGATGAATATTTTATTTTTAACAATTTTATTTCGAAGCCTGCAATTTATTTTGTACGTTTTAAATATTTTTGTAGAAATTTTCAATATTTCGATGAATTTTTATGTCTTTAACCAACTAGAGCCCTCTTAGAAAATTCGCACCCGTGGAAAAATCGATTCCATCCGACAGACGGACATTCGTCTGATTTCAGAGATCAACTCTGAAAGTTTCGCGTTTCATAATCCGCGACAAAGTAGCTTATCAGCCGGAGGACTTTTGATTTCGCAAAAGGAGAAAACGAATGCCCGGCTTGGAGCGGATTAATCGCTGCGGCCGTCTGATCGAGGGCGCGCGACGGGATTTCCTGAAATATTATCTGAAAAAATGTCCGACCCTATTTCACATCTGCTACGATCCGATCGGCACCCATCGAAAAGCGAGGGCCTTCATCGGATTTCTCTACGGATTTGTCGCAGCTGTCGTGTTGTACGAGGGCATAATCGTCGATCTACAATTTGACACGTATACCAGCATCTCTTTGGGAGCCATCCTTGTCGCGATGCTATCGATAGGATGTGCATCATCGATACAGGTAATCTCTTTTCTTACTTCACTCAATTGAGCTAATTACCTCTTTTGCTATATATGTACCCCCTTGTGTTATCCTACATTTATTTTATCGACGCGCTTGACTAAGCATCAACAGTGATGTACCTCTCTCTCCCTCCGTGAGAGACATTCTTTTCTCTAAAATAGCATAATCACGTTACTATGTTGACCATATTGCGTACTTTTATTGCTCGGAATCCTTGATGGAGTCGGGTTGAAACGAACGCGTTTGCCTTGCTAAATATTTTACAAATCGGAACTTGCCTAGTTCTGTGAATTTAACTGCGTCGTATATAACATGCATTATGTATAGTCGCGTCACGCACGTTGCCTTGTCCACACAATCCGATTCTTTTCTTACATCGGATTACAAATATTTGTTAAGTAAATGCGCGGTTTGTCGCGATTTCCATTGATAATAAGAACATGTGGTTACGATAATTATAACCAGTTTATACATTTACTTTGAAGCAAAATGATTCATTTTTATTCAATTAGCTATATTAGAAAAAAACAAGGAAATACATAGGATGTTTAAGCAATATATATAATAGGTATCTTATAACTCTTACTATTTAAATAGTTATTACTATTTAAAAAATATTTAAGGTGAGAATTTGAATAGGTAAGATGCATCTGTCTTTTGACAATACCAACCTTCCTCGGCCGATCCGGGCGCAACGTTTTGAGGGCTCTCGTATTGGGGTACGTAATAGCCGGGCCGATATTCAATCTAACGTACAACAGTAAAGAAGTGGTGAGGACTTTCGCTTGCACAACACAGTTGACGTACAATCTCACCCAGACACGCTTCGATCTCATGTTCAAGCCATTCCAGCAGGTGTATCTGCTCATCAGAATAATAAAATGCAATGAGCACCGTCAGCATCGAATTTCGAAGAAGAGTAGTCGTTTATGTCGACGAAACTTCGAATCGCGAAATCACCGATATAATCGAGCTATAATAAATATCTAATGATACGCAGGCGGTGCTCGCCATGAAAGCGGATGCGAACGAGCTGAAGGACACCTTATCCTCGGTGAGAGATTTGATGAGTCCGATAGTCGAGGAAATCGAGGGCGAAGAGGAGATGAACAGGCTGAAAGAGGAGAACGACTATTTGGATGAGCTCCAGGACGATACGAGGAGGAGCGACGAGATCGAGGAGAAACATGAGAAAGAGATCGCGAACGCGAGGTCCGAGGCTGATGTTTACGAGGCGAAGTACAAGAGGAAGATCGAGGCGCGCTGCGAAGAGCAGCTTAGCCGCGGTGCCGAACGGTGCAGGTATAAGGACATTTAACACGGACCTGATCTAAATAACATCGACGAACTTCGTGGTCCGCGAATAAGATCCTACGTTTCTTGTGTTTCGTAAATGGATTTCTAGAAATTCATTCCCATGCAGATCCGGCGAATGGTATGGTGATACCAATGACAGGATTGACGAGACGACGATTCTCTTGCAGGAAGATAAACGAAAACCGTAGAATTCATTCTTTCATAGTTTTTGGGAAGAATATTATTGAATATGAAATTAATTCTATTCATTGTTAGCTGTGCGGTTCCTCGTAATAATTTACACATAGAAAGAAAAGAAGTGTCAAATCAACATTTATATGTTCAAAATAACGCGTTCATTATTTTGTTTTTATACGCAACAATCTATAATTTTTTTATAAAAATTTGATAATCTTAAACTTCAATATTACATTATTTTTTCTTGATTGATTTATATAAAATTACTTCATTCAAGCAAGTTTTTTTTTGTTTAACATTTTTAACGCAAGATAATCTTATTTCAAGATTTCAACGCTGAAACTAAAGATATTTTCAAATCAAGAATACTCCTTTTTCTTCTTTACAGTTGTCGCAAAAATATCACTGTCTTTTCACAAATATGTGATACATTTTATAAGTCTCTGAATATTTCTTTTTTTCAACTGTTTGTTTCTAATTTGTATTTAACATAAGGATGTTTTTCAGAGACATGTTTGGTGACGCTTACGACAAGTGTTACGACACAGTGACGATCTTCGCGGCCTGGCTGCTGTGCTGGCCAATGAAGCTCACCTTCGTGTGCAACCTGGTGCAGGCTCTCGGCGGTTCCAATATCTGCGATCCCGAGGGGAAAGTGGACGCTGGTATCGGCGAGGGTTACGTCGCTTTAAAAAGTGAATATTATTCGATAAAAATTTAGGAATGAACCCATTGAACTCCCCCCGCGACGTTTTCGCGAGATATTGTCTCCTCTTCGTGAAGGAGCCAGGGATGCGTTCAGCAAAAGTCTCAAGGACGCGAAACTTCAGTACAGAGTGAGGAAGATGCCGGTGATCCTAGATCTTCACGACGCCACGGACGCTGCCCAGGCTGTGATGCACGAATTCAATGCACGCAGAAAAGTCTTTGAGTCAGTGATGATGATTATCAAAAGGTATAGCAAGAATGTAAATAATTTCAAGGATAAATTGTTCCTCTCTTTAGAGTAAAAATAGAAGCAAACTGTGCGGAAAAATTTTGCACGACAGCAAAGCTTGTTTTCTTTTTACTAATAGAACCACACATGGTATTATTTTAAAATATAGTTTCAAATACATTATTGCCTTTTTTGATTATTTGTTTGTATATGGAGGGGTAAAAACTAGAGTAGTGTAAGTCAATTTTTTAAAAACATTTTCTCGTGTGCATAGATGCAATCTGTACAATATATAAGTTGCATCTATGCACATAAGAAAATATTTAAAAAATTTTGACTTACACCACTCTGGTTTTTACCCCTCCATATGTACATATATAAGGAAAATTTGGTTCGTTTTCTACTGACCTAAAGTCTATCTTTATAACATATATATAAATATAATATATATTTTATACAATTATCCAGATGTCTATCCTTCGTTTTCTTGAGAATAATCGTAAGTGCTCAGACGTATCACGAGAAATATCTGGCTGAGATCGAGCATGACAACATATATGTCACTTCGTACTTCCGTAAGATCGACGCGAGACGAAAGGCTCGCGGTAGTCTGACCCTACTGCCTCTGAAGAAGATCGAGAGATCGAAATTCGTGGATCCATACAGCCTGCGACCGGGCGAAGCCGAGCGGGTGAATTTGACTGGCCAAACGATGAAGTTGATCCTCGAGATGCTCAGCGTGACGACGTTTATATTGCTGGACAGGCTCTTCTTCGAAGCGCTCGATTTGGTCAGAAGACACTCCCGCATGGAATATACTCAGGTTCGAGATTTGCGAGGCGATCCTTGTTATTTCCAGTTTAGATTTGAATTTAATTTTGAATTTAAGCCCAAGATTCTTTCGACAAGTGAACTTTCGAAACAATTCTTCACATATCTCAAGTTTAATTCCCCATTTTTTATTTGCAAATTTGATAAAAAGATTTTCAGTTTCGATTAATTCATCTAAACGTAATGCAAAAAAAGGGGAAATCCATACGATTCTTCGCTTTTGACTTAAGAAAATAACGTAGCTACAATGAAGGTCAAGAGATCTTTAAGCAATGATAAATAATGATGAGCAACTAACATATGCAAAATGGCCAGAACCAATACGGTTTTTCCTAACGCGTTATATAAGTTAATTATTGTTTATCCTGTTCGATCTGTCTTGAACTTTAACTTGTACTGTTTCCAGGCGGGTCATCACGACATGACCTTGGAGGTTCGCGGAATCGGAGTGATAGCCTCTCTGATACGCAGCGTCATCCGCGGATTCAACGTGAAGAGGCGAGTGAAGACCGTGGTGTCCAACAGCGCGTGCTTACCGCGGGCCACCAGAGTACCGAATTACATGATCCTCAAGATCTACTCGATCTATCTGGCCATTTGGGTGTTGCTGTTCACCGCCGCTTACACCCAGCGGCTACGGCGCGTGATCTGCTCGTTCTTCTACAGGAAGCGCGAGAAGAGGCGCGTGCTGTACCTCTACAACGAGAGCCTGAGACGTAGACTCGGGCACGCCAGGTAGAGACGGGATTAAATATATCTCGCGATTAAGTTCGCACCTCGTCGGATTCTCTCTCCTCTGAGTTCTCTATATGACTAATTCGAGAAACGGAAGAGGTACTTTCAAATAGAGAGTCCCTAACTGAATAGATTCGAGTCTCCTACGAATAAGAGACTCGGTTTTTTCCACATCGCTCGTTTTGTATGATAAGATTTAATTCCGGATAAAGTATTATAGCTTATCTTATGAATGGTGCTCGAACCATTTTTATGAAACAAAACTCAGATATCAGAATTGATTCGAATCTTCGTGAATATACATGCCGACCTTGATTCTATCTCCGATATCAAGGTTTATGCGAGCCAGGGTCAAGACTCTGGCCAGGACTCGTCGGCTGGAATACGACATAGATCCGTGGATCGCGCTGAGGCTGCGCTGGCCGGCGCTCTGCGGCTGGTTGGCGATCTTTGCCCGGGCACGTTACAGGTGCCTCGTCTGCGGCGAAGTGGAGCCGAGGAAAGGTCCGCAGTTCCGTAGATGCACGACACCCGGATGTCCCTTCGTCCATTGTTCCGAGTGCTGGGACGACATCGGTAGGATTTGCTATGCCTGCACGGACATCGGCGAAACAACGACGGAGGACGACACAGACGAGTTTGACACTCACGTAACAAAGTAGAAGGAGGGTTGTACATACGATTTCGTAGATGTTTCATTCGATACGCGGATTGTTATATCATAAACTATATTATCAAGTCAATTAGATTTATATAATAAAGTTTTTATTTCATAAAAGGAGTTACATGAAGGAAATAACGAGTACAAATTCAGAATTTTACGATTATTTACAAATATGTTTCCAAAAATTGAGGCTTATAATTTCAACGAGTTTTGAATTTCCCGTACTCCATGAAAATAATGTTTTTTTATAAGATATGCGTAAATACATAATATAAATCTAATTGATTTGACAATTGATATTCAGTATAACGTACAATAGTATAATATAATTAATACCATATCAAAATATTATCAAAAAGTTATCTGTATGCCGATGTATATACACATTATACTGATATTTATATCATTCAGTTTATTATTTAATTGTTATATATAAAAGCGAAAAACATATCAATAACATAATCGATATAAAAAATACCGGATGGTATCATGGAATTTAGTTCGACATTCGAAGATCGATTCTAAATATTTGCGTATTTTTTACATTATCTTCATACTTCGTACATCAAACTCGGGAAATGCAGTAAAAAGTCCCGATCTTTTTATTATGCGTACTTCGCTGCGACGTTGCCTTGAATTTTAATCGCTAGTTTTTATTAGTGTTATTTGAAAGAAGTTTCTTGACACGCCGCGAGCGGAAATCTTCCGCTCGGTAATAGCTATATTCATGTTAAAGTTTTTTTCCGTGTAAAAGAAAGCCGCGCGACTAGGATTCAAATGAGGAAAATATCAGAGGATCCCGTGCACCATCGAGCAACGAAGCTAAACACGACGGCATAAATACGCGCGGAACATATCACGATACAGAGTATATATTATGAACGATATTTTATTTGCATACACGCATATGTTACATTCTAATCGTCAAATCGCAACTATAGAAGGACGGTGAGACAATTAGCATTGCGTCATAATAGTTTTGCAGCATATATTCGTTTCCCTCCACGTCGATTTCTGATTAGATCTCTACGTTTTCCTCCTTGGCCATATCCTCGTACCTCTTCGCGTATTTTCCGTCCGAATCGTATTTCGCCTTCAGCTCGTTCCACATATCTCTCTTGTTTAACACCAGGAATTTTATCACCTTTCTGACGAGTGTCTTCTGATGATCCGAACATTTCGCACATTCGGTTTCTAGCGCTTCGGTTATGTGTTCTGCAATTATATGATTTATTATTCATCTAACGATATTGAATGCGATCGCGATACCGATGCTTTGTCTCGATGACGTCAGAATCGACCTTTAACACGCGATACAATTAGCCATCAAAGATCTTAACATGTGATTATAGAGATGTTCTTCCTAACAAATTGAATATTTATTAGTCAAGCGTAATTTAACGAGCGATTCAATGCTTCCTAAGCAAAAACGCTTTACAAGCTTGTTTTAACACAAAAGAAACCGTATGTCGGTGAATAAAGTTTTCTTTGCATATCTTACGTCACAATAAGTTACAAAGTTTTCTGCCTCTCTAAGAAATACGTTTTTAAAGCTGCTTCTGCAAACGATTCTTCTTTTCCAATACATTTACACTCTTCCAGCGTCTTAACGGCAATAAATAATTATGAGATCTTTCGATTAAATATAATTAACATTAGAATCAATGCCACGCACGCAGACTATCCAAACGCGAATAATAATCTAATTCAACTCGTTTGAAATGTTTTTCTATCCAAGCTGCACTTATAATAGCGAACTCTAGTTCGCTATTGATTTCTCTGGAAATTTCTCATATTTTGTAAAAAATTTTGTAAGAATTGAGACTTATATGAAAAATTCTGAAAAATATATAAAATTTCCAGATACTCCAGAAATAAATGGATGAGGATTTTCGGAATATTTCAGTATTCGTATATATGAAAACTTCTGATAGATTGCACAGATTTTCTCATATTTATTCAGATTTCTCCAAAGATATGTTGGAAAAATCTGAAATATTTTATTCTTATTTTGTCTGAAAAATGTTCCAATTCGTATAAAATGTCTGAAAAATTCCGAGCATTTTAAGAAAGTCTGAAAATTTTTATTCTGATTAATAGTATAAAAAATTCCGAGACATTTTTCCACTAGAGAATAGAAGAACACGTGTGCGATACTCACTCTTCAGTTCAACAGCTTCAGCGGGGCATCTAACGTTGGGCTTGTCCAGCATACAATCGACATATCGCTTCAGCAATCGGTCGTTACTAAGAATTTGATCTACATCTATGTTGTCGTATTTATGCGTGTACTCGTCCGATGTGTCCGCGTGGACGTAGACGACGGAAATTACAGCGAACAGGCAAATCACTGCGAGTTTCATGACTGCAACACCCATACACGTCCGATTAAACGCAAAACTCGAGTTTGGGGTAACTGCGTGTTGTGCCGCAAGTGATTTTGAAAGAATTTCATGGAATCTACAATTATGTTAATTAACGTTAACGGCATAAACGAATATCTATCACTTGCGGAAACTTACTACCGATCTCTTACGGAAAAATATACTACAAAAGATTACTGTAGTTGCAAAAAACTGCATTCATGCAATAATATAATTATTAGGCTACCAAAAGATTCAACCCTCGGATCCTAAATGGCATTTTTTCTAATTAACTGTAAGATTCATATCGGTTCACGTATTATTGTTTACATAAATTTTGTATCACGATATCCATCGCGAAAAATTAAGGGAAGATTGATCGCGTTGCGTTTCTTGAAAGAATAAGTATCTGCAAGCGCACCCGCTCTTCAATAACACATCAAAATTTGCGAATTTGATTCTTCTTCTTTAAGAACACTGTTAAATATTAAAGGATGAAATTTAAACCAATACTTTGGGTTAAATAACATTTTGTTACTTTTAACTACTGTTCCTGTCTTTATTATTTTAACACAAAACAGTATTATTTCAATCTCATTATTTTAGTTAAATTAACGATCGACATATTGAGTAGGAGCAGTGGCAATCTATAGAAATAATTAAAAATAATTCAAATTGAATATAATTTAACGCTATGAATTTAACAGTGAAGATCGACATATTGAATAGGAGCAGTGGCAACTTATAGAAATAATTAAAAATAATTCAAATTGAGTATAATTTAACACTATGAATTTAACGTTGAAGCAGTATTGGATTCGCGCGAGATACGTAATGAAAACACGACGTCGCACGACGATAAAAAATATCGGACGAGGCGTGGTACATAATGAGACATTTGCATTTCGATCAGACGCGATTGCGCGGCGAGGATTATTGTCTCGAGACACGTGTAATCTTTTCAGATTAACACTGTTAAATTTGTAGTGTCAAATTCAATTTGAGTCATTTTTAACCATTCCTATTATAGGTCGGTCTTACTCAATATATATCATTAATTTAACTAAAACAATGTTAATTTAAATCAATGGAGTTAAACTAATACTGTTTTGTGTTAAAACAATAAATTTGGACACACATGTTAGTAAAAAGTAACAAAATATTACTTAACTCAAGGCGTTGGTTTAAACTTCATCCTTTAATATTTAACAGTGTACAGACCCCTTTTGGGAGAGCGTCACAAATAAATTTCCACATTTAATAATCGGTGCAATTATCTTCCTTTTTTTCGGTTTGCGTTTATGAAACACACTGCCCCATGTGTCGGTGGGGCGCAAACCCGAAAGTCAATGCGACAGTTAATTTATCTGCGCAATCACCTCCAGTTTCGAAAGCGGAGTCGCGACAAAGAAGTTCGCGCCGATCGACGCACGATAATAATGCTCACCTAACACGTATTATTCGCGATCTGACGTAATTGTACGAGATGTACCCGTGTGACTTGACTTTATATAGATGCGAAGAAGCGTACGGCAGGGTGGGAATGGTACCGATTCATTCCGCGAATTCCGCCTTCATCATCAGCCAGCACCTTCACCTTCGCACCCGCGATGGAAAACGCTTCCACGCGTCAGCATCGGCTTTAATGACGCACTATCATTTTTTCTCTCTTCTCACTAGAGGACTTAAAAATGCAAAAGTGATTATCAACGGAGTGTCATTGCCGCAACGATCGGTTCTTCTTGGGAAAAAAAAAGGAACTATCCAGCTGGACGCCGTCTCCAATGGGCATAATTTAAAATCTATTTTCCGCGAATGGCACATTACAGAATGGGATGGAAAATTTTCTTTTTGAAGAAATTTTAGATTTATCACATGATCTATGCATCGATTTTAACCTTCGCATTTGCATATCACTTAAAAAACGATGTAACCGAAGATTTTTCGTTCTATTTGCATTCATTTCTTCTTTAAAAAATTCCATCACGAGAATAGAAGAAGCAATATTATTTCAACGCCTTGAAATTAATATCAATATTAATTATTATTGCAACAACAAAAACTGATTATAGATAAAACTGGATTATAAAATTAATATTCAAGGCTCCGCAATGATCGAACAAATAATTCATTTTTGATTTCTGATTTCAGACAAGTGATTTTTCGAGAATCGCTGTACCTAGCTGTAAACATCTCGGGCGATGTTATTTCCAGAAAATGTCAGCTCTATTTTTCATCTCATTTTTTCAAACGTTACTGAACGACTATAACTTTTCAAAACTTGACATGGTCGTTCATCTTTCTGTCATTATTAACAAAAATATCTCAAGCGCAACATACACGCGCATTTTCTTTCTCTCTCTTTTTCGCTCAATTGCATTCGAACTGAAACAAGCAGAAGCGTAAGTAACGCGCTGGTTCGAAGAAACGTAATATACGAGAAAAATATAATTGAAGGATATCGGGTAATTAGAAAAAAAACATCGTTACGAAAAAACGTTACACGTTTTTAATCTAAAAGGTTGATTAGCTATGACTCGATGATCCCACGATGTTTGGAAGCAATTGAGACTTATTAAAGTAATCAGTATATAATTATTACCACGTGCATATTTCACACACGAGGCTTTATCTCTCTCTTATCAGTATATAATTATTACCACGTGCATATTTCACACGAGGATCACAACGTTAACTTGTATATTCATCTGGGAGACCAGTGGAGAAGCAAGAAGGTATAGCGTTCACAGAAATCGTTCACACAAGTCTTTCTTAAATGAAAATATCGCATAATTTATTTATCGCACAATATGTTCGACGAATATCCGTGTCGGAGTATACATCATAATAAGTAAATTGTAAAGAGTCTAATTTTCTGTTGTTCAATTGAGAAAATAGTGCGCACAGTGTAACACGCGTGTCGAAGATCATATAGACAATTTATTGTGACCGAAGCGGTACTTGATACGTCATTCTTTATCCGACTACAGTTGTTTCGTAAGGATTGTTCTATTAGGGGTAAATTTCGATGTTGACGCGCTATAGCTAAAATATCGACTTTTACATACATATCGCAAAAAACGAGACCTTTAATCGCTGATCTCGATTGCTTACCTACGACACGCACAACGCTTACGACAGGAAGCCGTTCCAATAATACACATTAGCTATGTATCACCAAATATAGTCGGATAAACGGAAGAGGTATTTGTTTAATATCTATACAAAATATGAGCGAGTCGTTTGTATTTTAACGTCGCTCTGTTCATAGAAATGTTTCTCTTCGCGCGCGCGCACACACATACAAATACGCACACACACAAACATACATACATACGCACGCACAAACGTACAGGCACACAAAGAGAAAGTCTGGATATAGAATTTGTCTATCTACTTAAACCTGAGTAGGTCTTTGCTCCTGTTGTTATGTACAAATAGATAGGCTCTCTTTTATATCTACATAATTAGGACCTATATATACATTTCATCGTGTCCCTCTATTTAGACTTACATATACAATTTTAATAAGCGTGAAAATTTCGGGGACAATCGATTTAAATATTTAACGTTATCGTACGGCTACGAAATTCCTGCTCTATTACTTTAGGGGTAAGTAATATAAAAGCATACGTTACATTCCAAAAAACATACTCGCGTCGTTATCTTAAGTTTCGTAAAATAAAAATCGCAAATTGTTCACATCAGTCGACCCAAAAAGATCATCCGCGAGTCGGATCACTTTGATGACATTGAAATTATCTTAAAAAGTATTCAATGAGATTCGGATCTAAATTGTTTAATTTTTTTATTTATGTATATGATAATATTGATCGATAAATTATTCTTACGTTTTGAATGGGAAAGAATGTAAAAGTACGGCAAAAATAAAAATAGTTTCTCTCAATAATTTTTACATACTTTGTGTATATCGCTTTGAAATAAACATTTCCATAATGTTTCTTACGGAGGCAGCTTTTGTGGTATCACAAAATTCAACACACGCGTACTAATATTAAAAAGGTTATTTTCGTGGATTTTGACTTTTAAAGTGATAAAAAATAATTACGCTCTCAAATTATCTGTTAGGTGTCTTTTTCGTTACCGGAAATTTAGTTTAAAATTTTATTGTAATAATAATAATAATAATAATAAGAGCGACTCTTTATTGTCGCAAGATTATAATTCTTTGTGCTTTGAAGTATATAATCATTAAGAAGGTATTTCCTTGTTGTATATACAAATACTATACAAATAAAAGGCAAATTATCTAATACTATACATCGTACATTAATTGAATACGTGAATATTTGTATCATCCTTCGTCAATAAGGAATTTTTTCAGACCAAATAAAGGAATCAATTATCAAATAGATTATACATATAGCGTCACATACATAATTATATAATCATGGCTTGCATGGTACGCATAATGCGTATCATAACATATTTTAATTATATGGATTGTCAACCGGTTTATCAAGATTTATCATTCTACATTTCTTGTAAAATAACCAATTTCTTTTATATATTACATCATTAGTCTTCATTCATATACGTACATATCAATATTTTAATAGCAATATACATCTAGCTAATAAATAACAACAATAATTATCATAGAGTAGTTAATTTCAATAATTTCTATACTGTCTTAAAAAGTTTCGATATATATCTTAGCACACTGCTTTGTATACTACGATATTTTATAATTCAAAAACAAAGATGCATGAATAATCTTGATATTTCCTTATTGCCGAATATGAACATTCAAAACAGAAAGTTGCGCGACGGGCATTATCTACACACGGAAATATAACACAGTGGAAGAATTAATTGAGCAATACGTTCAATGGCTCTACGTAGGCAGTGTTAAGAGATTCTTTCAAATAGCATTTAATTGGAAATGATAAGTAAAATAAATATATTAAGGGCCGATTCTCTAAATATTTGTAAATGCTTGTCACAATTACTGAACTGTTTATTATTTTCGACATTTATAGCTAGCCTATAAGAAAAACCAATTTGAAAACATTTTAAAAGCCATTTAAAAAAAGAACAAAAAAGCGATTGAACAATTTCCGAGATTTTATCATCGTGGAATCGGCCCTGAACTCATTGCCAGTTTTATCACAAAAAAACATAAATTGCGCCTGATTATGAATCCATTTCATCCTACGTTGAACAATAGATCGCGTTATATCATAGCAACATCCTTGTTTAAAAGAATCAGCAACAATGCATCTACTATAATATGCATACATGCGTTTTTTTTTCTTCCGTTTCCTCTCTTCATCTGCCTTATATTTAACTGAATCAGACTTAAGAATTTTAGTTATATCTATATCTAAGACTTAGCTTATAAGATTAGAGATGACTTAGAGTGGCAAAATAGTCGTAAATTTTTACACATTTGATCAATTGGCTGTGATCCAACCGTTAGCTACTAGATAATGAAGAATTTTGCTTTCTGGTTCTGATTGAGGAACAATACTCGATCTTCTATTACCGTTTAAATATTCCTGTGACATTAAAAACGATATTAGCAAATTATATGCAACAGTTACGGCAATAAAAGCAAATCGACGTTCATCACTTACTTGTAATAACAATGTCTTTTGCGTCAAATACTGAGTCGGCTTTAGATCAAGTTGAATACACAAGGATTTTTCTTGCTTCGTTAAAAGATGAGACGCAGCCTCCAATTCTATATCTCGCTCTGGGATAGAAGTGCTACCACCGCTGTAACCTTTTTCTTGTGAGGAACTGGGGCTGGAAGTCGATTGATTGGAAGTGTTTGGATTGCTATCCGACTCCGCCCACTGATTGGCTGGAGTCGTCGTCCGATTGTGACTGGTTTGACTGACTGTAGGGCTGGCCAAGTCTTGCTTTACAATGTATTTTCGGTCGATTGAAGAGTAACTTTTTTCTTCTTCTCTGTAAAGAAAAAAGAAAGAAAATGCGCACAATTCCTTTAGCCGTATAGAGTATTTTATTAGTAATTCTAGAATTTTAAAAGTTTAACAACAGTCTAAGATATTGTAACAATACTATTGCTGCAACTTGAAAAGGAGCTTTACATAACAACGCTTAACAGAAACAATGAAGCAGACAAAAAATTTTCATTAAATATATAAATACAAAATAGAACAAAGATATGCGTGATGATGTGAGAAGTAGCGATAATTATAAATCCCGCAATACAAAATGTAACATTTAATCCTACAAATATGACATCTCACCTTCTTTTTGAAGTGCTGCGTTGTATTGGCGTGGACGGCCCACTGCTGCCCTAAGTGAAATGCAAACTGATACAATCTGTTCACAAATGCCTGGCAACACGCACCACAAACAGTAGAATTAGTTAAAAATAAGCAAAAGCTAGTGTATACAATATAGTTAAAGGTCTCAACTCTTTCTTTTAATTTTTAATGTACATATAAATGTACGAAGAGAATAAAAACCAAATATAGAAATAGTTGTAATTATTTTAAATAATTTTCTTCACATATCCTTTACGAAAGTATGAGATCAATGAAATATATATAAAGTTTATTACAAAAGAAGATAATAGAAATAGTAAAATTGATACATAATATTAATATATATCTTGTTACAGAGATAAATGTCTTGTCCACACACTTATACATATAGAACATATAAATTCAAAGTAAAAGTTAAATGTCTATGTATAAATTAACACTGACACAAGTAAAAAGTTAAATATCTATAATAACGCACACAAAAATGACATGGTATAACAATTATAATAAGAAGCACAATAACATTGCTGCTTAAAATATCATTTTTTTCAAGTGATATTTTGAGTGATATAAGTAGGTATAAAATATTTCAAGTGATATATGTAAGTCTGAGATATCTTGGGTGATATCTCATAGTAACGTCATACATTGATATGTACTCAGCTTTAGCATGCGTTAGCATTTGGTAAAAAACTACGATAATATATCATTCTTCTTATATAAATATATGACTAGCTTTCACGAATGCACATATATAAAAGTATCATGAAATATAAAATATTCTACATCCATACAGTGTCATAACAAGACGTTATATAAAAATAAAAATGTATACTTACAGATTTCTTTTCAGTCCAATGATCCACTGTATCATTTTGTCTTTGAGTCTGCGCAAGAACCTGCTCGAAATGAGCGCATTCCTCGTGTCTCGTAATGCCGTTCTCACGATAGCGATACAGCTCCGAGAGCCGTAAGCGCAATTCTCTTTCCCTCTCGAGATTTGTTAGGAACTGTTCGTGCTCTTGTGCTGTGTAAAACTGTGCGAATACACGCATTCTGTCCCTAAATTCTCTGCGTAAAATAAACGAAATGCTTAATACGTTGAACGAGCGAAGACAATTAATCTATCAAAATATTGCGCAAAACACTAAGAAAAAAGTAATATTAATATAAATCGTACTTTTCTTCTTTCGTCCATTTTTTCTTTATTCCTTTATCTTTCCTGGATGATGCAAAAAAAGCAGACACAAGCTGGTAATCTCTTACGACGCGTTTTCGTCTGGCTCGTTCTCTGAGATTACTGGTGTACATATCAACTTGTGCTAGTTTAAGTGCGATATCAAGATCATCGTCTTCGGCAGGATTCAGGAACAATGAAGAAACGAGAGACTCGGCCTCATGATTGTAATCCTGAAAAAGCATCATAATTGTTAAATTGCATTTCTAACAAAAAAATTAGATCATATTTTAGAAATCACACCTTTAGAAGAATACCGTCACAACTCAAAAATTTATAATTTTTTGGAAAGAGGAAAAACAAATTTAATTTAATTTTTTGAATTGTGAGATAACTAAAGCAATTACAATTACGATATTCTATTATAATAAAATTTATGCTGTTTTTTGAGGTTCGGTGGGATTTACTGGTCAATTTACTTACGACACTTCATCCAGCGACCGCAACATAATTAGTTTGAAAGAATAACGATACTTCTGCCCCGTGCAGCGGATTTCGCGTATAGACGTGTGACACGTTATTATAGCACGTAGGTAATATTTTAAGCATACTTTTTATAGGCTTAACTCAAAATCGAAATTTGAATTGTGACAGTATTTTTCTAGGATTGAGAAAAGTCCCGATTTTACTCTCTCAAAATCATCTCGTTGAGGCATGTAACCCAGTTGTGCAGCTTCTTCCGGGGTGATGTCCAATGGTGGTAATCTGGACGTGAGGTCAGGGGATAGAGGACCATGATCGGACTTTGTCTGATCCGTAAGATTTGGTACGTAGCTATCCGTGGGTGGCCATGTGTGCTTTCCGATGTTACCATTGAGATACCTAGCGATATATTCTTCTTTCGCTTCTGTAATAATAATGAAATAAATTCTATAATGATGGGACGCCAAATAGCTCAGTGCTAGAAAATTGCCTGCCAAACTAAAGATCCGGGTTCGATTCCTGGACTCCCACATACATAACACAAGAAATTTAGAATAAAAATAAAAAATAAAGTATCCAAAACATTTGTATTTAATCCCAAAGTAACTGGGAATTATGGTACTATACAGTATTACTCTTCAAAGACCAACAATCTCCAACAATAATAATAAAATATTATAATGTAAAAGACGAGGGGAAAACGATACGAACTAATTTAAAAAATCGACTCTAGACTTTGTGAGTTTCTCACGATGTTTACAAAGCATGTCAGTTAAATTACCTTCTGGCGTACGCGTCTCGATATGTTTACTGATGTCTTCCCAGTTTCCAAAACCAAACTGTTCGATAGCGTCCAGAAGTCTCAGCTGTTCTCTAGCGGTCCAATTGCCACGACCATTGAATATGCTGATCGTACCAGAGTCCTAAGTTGATGTTTGTAGAAGTATATTAGTGCTAGTACTTCTACAGCGTATAAATTTCAAAATTGTCTGTTTGGTACATACCATAAATTGATAGGCATGATTATTTTTGTGTTGACCAATTTCAGCACCGGCGGAAAAACACTGAAAACAATTTACAAAGTTAATACATCTTTTAATTAATTAATATTATCAATTAATATTTTTTTTATTAATATTTCCAATTTTGTAAATAGTTTTCATATTTTTTTAAATAATAAATTTATGCGTCAGAGTATCTCATATTCATACTTTTATACAAAAATAGATTCAAATATCGTATCTTGCCAAAGAATATCATTTCTTGCCAAAAACAAAACGCTTACTCAGTATAAATAATTTGAATGACAAATAATATTCAAAAATATTTATTACTATGAAAGAAACATTTGTGCGCACTTCAATGATTCATTATATTACCTGTTAAAAAACTACGATAAATATTCATATACGATTTAAAATCATAATATCAAAATTTCATAGACGTCACAATTCGAAATATCCGCCAATACGCCCACGTGTATTTTAGCCATCGCAGCTCCATTCACAAGTTCGTAAATAGAACAAAGGTGCTCAAAAAAGGGGGGGGAGAAGAAATGGAGGGTGAGAAATGCGGAAACACAAGTGAAACACACCTAAAAGCGGATGGTGACTGAAACTATGAGAGAAGTACGAAATAAAAAGTGAACCGATGGAAAGGAGAAAATAATAAGAAGAGAAATCGGGGAACGTGGCATGGAGAGGTGAGAAAAGGAGAGCGGAGAAACGGTCGGAAAGGTCGAAGAAAGAAACGTGGCAAGGGGGAGCCGAGGCTGTCACGTGACCCAAAATGGTCGTCCGAACGGTCGACCCACCTGCAAGCAAAGGTCGAACTCCGAGCACTCGATGCACTTGACGCGTAGGCCCGCGATGTCCTCCTGGCAATAGGTGCAGTTGTACTTGGCGTACAGATCTGAAACGCAAGGCGCATAAAGATATAAAGACGGCGATAACGGCAAGGGGGGGTGGGCTCTCGAGAGGGTCGCTCGACGCCGCGACACACGGAATACGCACCCGCCATTATTGTCCCGCTGGATCCTTCCCAGAACAGATTCGGGTGACGTCACCGCATACCATCGGGCCAGTGAGTTTCACGGTATCACGAGGCGCTGGGACGCGGTGCCGCCGCCGTGATCATCATCTTTCCGTTCGCGTTATAGATCCCGCGCGAGAAAAACGTCGCGGAATCGCGACGCGTCTCTCTCTCTCTCTTTCTCTCCCCCCTGCGCAGCCCTCCGTTCACCCCGTGCAGACGTGTGTGATCCGTGAGGAACACCGATCAAAGAAAAAAAAAAAGGAGCGGAAGGGTCGTGTTTACGGCTGTTGCGTCGCGCGACGAATACGCATGCGCCGGGCGTCACTCAGCTGCTCGCCACTGTCCGCGCCGCTCTTGATCATTCTTCGAACGTGGCCCTCCGACGACTAGATGACTCTCGCTCCCGCCCCACTTCCGCTTCGACTTACGCCATAGACGTAATAAGTGTAGATCGGGGGCGAGATCGTGTATCTCGAAACGCGAGGTGAAAATTGCAAAAGTGAAGAAATTCACTAGAGTACCCGCGATTTTATTCGTCGAAATCTAGTAAATCTGTTCACTTTTGGTAATTTCACTTTTTCCTTGATTCTCTCTGGCGCCACGTGTCGCGCAATGCTCGCGCCCGACGAAAGCGCGAAAATCGTCGATGTTTCCCCATTCAGCGCTTCGATTTGAATCTCTTTTTCAAGAAATTTATCGCCACTCGAATTGATGACGTCAATAGAAGGTCAAAATTATGACATTTTTAAATATATATATATATATAGATATATCACTTTTCTCTGCAATAATTATCTTTTTTTTAAATAAGTGCTCTTTTTTTAAACATTTTGGTTTCTTAGCAACCGACAAAACAATGAAAATAAGAGCGATAAAATTGTTTATTTTACTTGTCATCAGCGAACCATGATTTTAAATGGAGTTGTCATTAAATCAGGAATTTCGAAAATGTTCGTAAGGAATGTGCGCAAGGTAACATAATAAATATTATGATTAATTATTAATTAAGTATAAATCATTGTTGTACGAAAGAATCATAGAATATATATATATATATATCTATATATATATAGATATATATATATATATATATATATATATATATCTTAAATCGTCTGGGACGAGTCTTAAATGTTATTACAGCTGTAATTAAGTTGTATTGTTGGATCAGTGCCAAATGCATGTTGTGTATCTACCTAAATAAAGGTGGAAACGTAGTTACCCAGTTTCGAAATAACTTTTATTAATTAAAATAAATTTTTATACTTTTTCTGTAAATAAAATTTTTCAAAAACTCCAGTTTACATCTTTACAAAGCAAAACTTGATAGAAAGAGGAATAAATCTTCTGTGCCAATCTAATAAATCGACGAAAGATATTTTGCATTTTGAGAAAAGAATGTTTTCTCATTAAGAACTCAATTTAACTCGATTTAGATACAACGCATGTACAGTGCTCCAATATTACGAAGATCGTTCGGCACAAATCAACCGCTTGCAGAGTGCAACAAAGCGTTCGAGAAATTTAAATTGAAGCAAGCAAAGATGCAGGTATACATAATAATAATTCCAAACAGTCTAAAAAGCTCGACATAAAAATTGCATGTTAATACACGCATCGTTTATCTCACTAGTGCGACGACGGGCTTCCGGTCTACTTAAAGGGTGGCATGCGCGATAAAATACTGTTTAACATCACGCTAGCTTTGGTCTTGTTTAACACGCTCCAATCAATCTACACAATTAAGGAGTTCTTGACAAGATTTTAATTTTGCGCGTGTCGAAACGTACCTCTTGAAAGTACAGGTATTTTATTCGGGAATCGACTTGTATAAGCCAGAATATTAAACAATTTCACTTTATGTAAAACATCAATACATCTGGTATATTACGCACGCATACAAACATACACACGATTACATATGTCATGCATTTACGTACATTATTTATATTTAATACCGGTCCTAATTTTGGAAGAGATTTAATAAGGCACTCAATTATACGCTGCAGATGTCGATATTATTCCATCAGTCTGTTAAATATTGTATAATGAATTTCGTGGAACTTGGAGATTGATAATTTATATCATTTTAAATTTAATTTTTGATTTGCTACAAGCGAGATGCGGCTTATCAAAATTGGAAACTTCTATGTTCAAAATAAGCAACACTAAATGCAAAAGTCGACGTAAACAGGCAACAGCTCATATCAGTTTAATGTTTACAACTTGTGGACGTATTTACATGTCCGTAATTATAATTTAAGACGTAACAAATAAAAATGTAATTATAAATAAAGTCAAAAAATGACTATAAGGTATATTCTTGCTGTACATAGATTAATATTCAGGCGTAATTATATTAGTAATTTTGCGCTCCGTGAAAATTCAATCATATTTGATATGAGTGTAGTATGCAAAATTGTACAGTATTTCCCCTTCAAACTATTTTCAAGCTATCGTAAATATCGTACATGAGTATGGAAAAGTCAATTTTATACTTTCCATATTGATAGCGCGAGCATATTACATATTAAAAAATACAATATTTTTTTATATCACAGAAAAACGTATTTACATTATGTTACAATATTACACACTTGTTCCGCTAGTAACATTTAATAGTTACTTATGAAACATTATTTAATAAAGTTTCTTATAATTCATCTCTAATTTTGCTATTTTTCTGTGAACTTTCTTTTCCACTAATATTTATATTATTTGGATTTACATTGGTTTCCTCTGCAATCGATTTTCTATGATTTTCTGATATATATTTGTTATTATGCATGTTGGCTGCACGTTCCTTCGGTGATGTCTTTTTTCTTCGTTGTATTAAAACCTTTAGAGCTTCGCTGAATTGTAATAATGTCTCAGCGATTGGCCGTTCCATATATTTAGCTGCGATTTCATCGAATTGATCGTCTTCCTCCGAGGTTAATTCGTGCTTAATGTACTTAAATTGATCTATTATTTCCTTAAGACTTTCTCTAGCATCTTTTACCATCAGTTGACCATTACTTTCCACAGAATAATCCATTTCCTCCGCTATGTGCGAATCGCTCTCCATACGTTTTGTATCATTTGTTGATGCCATTGTATCAGTATCATCATGTATGAAATCTTTCTCAAATTCCTTAAACTGATTTATTATATTCCTTATGCTTTCTCTTACATTTATTGATTTGGGTATCTTGGCATTTTCTTCTTTATCCTCTTCTTGTACAACTTCTGTCTCAGATAACTCTACGTCAATTTTATCTTGCGACTTTGCAATCTTTCTCGCATCTACTTTTATATCTACAATTTCATTTTCTTCTTCCACTGTATCTTCAGTTTGTTCTAGATTACCTGATTTTATTAACTTGATTTTACCTTTCTTTTGTGTAACAACTGGCTTCTGTATACTAAATTCATCATCTTTCATATGCTCTTTCACGATCTTAGGTTCTTCTCTCATTGTTGATGTTTTATCTGTAAGTGATGGTTCTTTTAACTCCTGTTTCAATATTTCTATCCCTTTTACCATCTCCGCTGTTACTCCTTTCTTCTTCATTGGTTTTATTGAAAGTTCTATATTTTTTTGTTCATCGTTGACTTCTCTTCTCTGTTTGGTTTCTAGCTTCTTTTCTTGAATCATTTTTTTAACAGTTTCCTTAACACCTTGAGTTTCTGGACGTAGATTTACACCGTTTTTAGATTTTCCCTTAATGATATTTTCTTCTTCAATCTTCGTTTTTTCATCAGGTTTTACATCACTGATATCAGAAACATCTTCCCATGTAGTACTTTCCATAGATGTCACGTTATCGTCTGGCAAATCATTAAACATTTCTACTTTTTTCTCCATTGTATCATTTTCAGTTTCAACTTCGATATCTGAAAAATTTGGCTCAATAGTTTCTTCGACCTTCTCAAGTTTTTCTATTGACTCCACAAGTTTGTCAACTACTTCCTCTTCAAGTGACGTGTTCAATTTCATGTTTTCTGTATCATTTACCTGGTTTCCAAAATCCATCTTTACAGAAGACCTTGATTTTGCTTTATTAGGATCATATTTGATATTCGATTTTCTTTTCATAATAAATATACATGGCTTCGTTCTAATCCTAATAGTAATAAGCGGTAGCATGTTGTGATTTAATGTTATATGCGAAAATCCATCGGTAGAATCAATAATATCATGAGTTCTTAGATAGGGCTTTATATTCGGAGAATACTTGCTTCTTGCTTCCACCAAGAGATGAGTAAACTGTAGCATTTCAGGATCATCGGTAGTGAGGTTCTCTTGTTTTGAATAACTGTAATAAGTGTTTTTTCTATTAAAAAGTACCATGACGCAGACAGTAAGGAACTTGTTACAGGCAAAATAACTTACATCCAAGAAGCATTGGTCTGTGTAAATCTTGATACCCCGGTTTGTGCGGCAAACACATCAATATGCACATGTACTGGTTCGATTGAGTCTCTCTCAAGTCTGTGTAACTTAGCGATTGCCAATCCTCCAGGATAATTAGAGCTAGCCACGCATAGTAGAAACATGGAGAATATAGCATTCAATACAAGATGACCAAAGACTAATATCGCTAGAAAACCATTCGACCACGTTTTTGTTTTGTTTTCCCATCTAATTTCCAACAAGAAATAGTTTTTAAATTATTACATTATATATAATTATAAAGATTCATAATCGGAAGCTTATTAATTCGCCATCAGCAGCTATAATCTGATCTCTATAATTAAATTCTAGAGTATTTTATTGATAAAGGAACAAAAAATATATATATTTAATTATTGAAAAAATATAGATTTTTCTTTATATCTTAAGAACAGAAAGCATAATAATAATAATAATAATTGTAATTTTGTAATTCTTACAATTATAAATACATTTTAAACAATTATTTTGGTAAATTAGAATTACTGATGGAAAATTAATCAAACTATAATTAAAATGAAACATATACTTACATTCTGTGGCAAGCAGCAGCTGCGCCAATATTCAACAGTGGAAATACGTATATTATGAATCTCAATTCCTTGTGTGGTAAAAATGAAAATATTAGGATGAATATGATAGCTGGAACAGTAAGCTGGCGAACTCTAGCATCCCAGATCATCCCAAAGGGAATTAGAAAATATGAAAATGCTAGACCTCTCGGCAATGCTGAATAAAAGTACCATAAAAATGGTGATGTCTATTCATATGTCAAGTTCATTTACGTACTGATTTATATATTGAAAGATTACAAATATCTGTTCAAGGATCTCCAATATCTCAATTAAAAGTGCATGTTTGAGAATTTATGGTAGGTGGCCACATATTATGACCAGAAATTTGAAAAAGTGCTGTAAGTAACCAATCATATTTCGTTATTTGATAGATCGAAAACAATTTTTTCTGACTTTACAATCCAAGATTTACCATCCGAGATATTGAGAATCCTTAACGGAAAAGTTTGTTGTGTCTGAAAAGGATACGCCCCATTCGCTGCTCTTATTAAGAATAGTGTTGAAATAAAACACTTCGCCTTCTGGCCACACTAACCGTCTCCAAAATATCGAATCTATAGTAATAGTAAGGGCTAAGAACAATACACCAGCTGGAACCGCAATTTTAAGTAGTCTAAAAATTATTATAAAACATTATTGTAAGCAAAGTAATTTGGAAAGGAATCGTATAAAAGATAGATATTTTTTAATGATATAAAACTGTAATCGGTCTTTCGTCTCGATGAAGATCCAAAGATACTTTCATGTTAATGTATTTAATACACATAACATTTAGAGATTTGACTTAAAAGCTTACAAATCTGTGCAGTTTTGCAGAAGACCCCTTGATGATTTTAATCATCTCTGTTTGTAATCTTACAGCCATATTAGGAATCAATGGTCCATGACATAATATGTAAATACCTTTGTATAGAAAGTTTCTGGCTCGCTATATCGTATAAAAGGAATAATCCCAAAAGTACGGCGAGTTCTGCTCTGAATATTATTATTGCTGCAGCCGACGACCAGATAAACAACACATGCTTTTGCCTCAGCCATCCAAATAAGGCCACTAATACTACAATATCAGTCCCATTAATTAAAAAGAACACGTGTAATTAATAATATAAATAATGTGAAATTATATGAGTTAAAACATTTTAAAATTTAAAGCACTGAAATATAAGCTCTTCAATTATCAAAAATGCATACATATACATATATAAAGAGTTTTACTTTATTACCTAAAGGCATAGCCATTATATTTGGCAGTGGACGACTAAGATAGTATATAAAATGATACTGCGACACAGTTATGAGCACAAACCACCTTGCGAACTGCAGCCCAAAGATTCTTTGTAAAGCGTGCCTGTATAACTTCAATGTACTTATTACCAATAATCCCAATATTGCTCTTACTAAAAATAAAAAAAAACTAATGTTAAATTCTTTATTTTACCAAAATATGTGAAATTATTATTATACCTAAAAATTACTTACCCACATACTGAGCAAAAAATTTATTGAACTTCAGGTAATTAATACCTGCCACCAATGGTGAGGCAAGACCAGATATGACAATAGGCCCCAAAAAAGAACGTGGCACGACTCCAGGAAATTCATGATGATCATACTAGAAAAATAACAAAAATTTGATTTGTTAATTAAAAATGTTTTGTGACGCTAAGCGGGAAATTATATCCGAGTGATCTGGCTTGCAATAAAAGTATATCTTTATTTTGTCTCTCAGACCTAAAGACAAAGCTGATCTACGTTAACCTATCTGAACATTTTTTATTTATAAATACAAGGTATTAAAAAGATCTTCAACCTTTTTCTCTGTCGAATCGTACGTACATACGCAAACTATGTATACAGATCAGGTGTTTACTAGAGATATTCATAGCAGAAAAGGCACAGTATTTAAATAAAGCTCAAAAAAATAAGAATTTGTCGGTTAATGCATTATAAATGAATTAGGGGCGGCATCAGCTGATCGCGAGTTTATAAATACGCGTACCACTCTGGTACTAAATATATAATGCGGCACTTTTTACGTGCTGGCTGCTCGATCACGACAGTCGGCCGGGACGGACAACGATCGTCGAGCAACTCGGTGTCCTCCATCGAGTCGGACAACCCGATTGTCGTTTAATGTTTCAGTCATTACCTCCGTTAAATTGGCACCGTGATAGAGGATATCGTGCATCGCCTGCAGGTTGAAGCTCTCCTCGACTTTCGTAAACGGGCTGAATACCAGGTGCATCAGCGATACCAAGATAACCAGCTGATCCATGATCACCGTTGTGCGTTTCACGCAAAGCGTACGTTGCCACTCGACGAACTGTCGGGTCTCGTCATGATAAATTCGACGTGTCGGCACCAAGGACACTTTTTCTTTCGTTTACCCTCAAACACACGGTGTAACCACGACGTTATTGTGCGGCCTGTGTGCGGCGGGCACCACGTATACAGTTACAAAAAACGGAGCGACTCGCGCATGCGTCACCACGCTCCACAAGTTGATTCTCGATCCTCGGCGGAAAGTCTCCGGAATCATTTCGTCGCATTTCGTCTCTCTTCCTTCTCTTAGGAATCTCCGGAATCTCTTTCTTCAAAAAGTCAATGTTGAAATAGCTATAAGCGTCTTCTTGCTCATTAAAGTCTCTAAACCTATAATTTATAATGTAATAAATGAATAAAATCAATCGAGTGGAAAATAATTTGATTATCTTTATACGTTATTAATTTCAAATCGTCTATTACGTTATTTTAAATCCTGGTCGAACTTCCATTGCTAACGGCTCTCGTTTTTGAATCTTTTGAGTTTCATCAATCTTATCAATCTAATTAAAACCCTGAAAATCGTAGTACGCTGTAATCCTGCAGAGTAGAGATTCATTAATCAAGAAGAATCATTCCGCGCCTCGACTCGCAGCAGCGACGAATTGTCTTTTGTATTATTGGTCCTTCCCGCGGAAATAGGATGCTCGTGACTTGCATTCACCTCCGGAGCAATTCTTTCGATCGCAAGAGAAAATATCTGCTTCTGGGTGCGGACGTCCATCAAACTACAAAAAGAAAATAAAATATGCTGCTGCGCGAGAAGATGTCTTCCTAAAGAATTCTTCAAACTTCAATCAACTCAATTAAAGACGATTTCGACTAAACTCCGAGTAACTTAATCGGCGATTAACTTGTCAAGCAATATTATACCTATCCCAGGTAGCAAGATGACATCTAAAGACGTCTTTTAATGACGTTAGACACGTATTAAGACAGAATTAATACGTCATTTGACGTCACTCTGCTACCTGGAATACTATTATTTTGTTAATGGATAGACGATAGACTAATTAATTTTTTGTTGTTTAATACATACGCGACATACAATAGATTCGGCAAATTGTGAAATAATTTACAAGTGAAATTTAACAAGTAATTCCGTCGGTTGAATTAATCGCCGTTTAATTGGAGTTTCTTCGAAGTCCTCCCTAATTCAATCGACAACATTACTCATAACAATAATATTCCTGCATTACATAATCGTCGTTCTTATAATCTAATCTATTTCTCCATATATATGTCACAAACGACAACAAGTTAATTAATTCTATTCGTATGAACAAAACAGTCTCAAGGATCACTTGATTACTACATTAGTTAATCGGAGTTTGGTCGAGGTCATCCAAAGAAAATTCATCTCGGTGTCATTTGCATCCAAAACCGAAGATCGTGACAGATCGTGTATTCCAGATGCCCGTTCTAGACTGGAGGATGATCCTACTCGCGGCTCATCCTAGTGCGAGTAGTGTAGATGGATAAAAATCATTGATTATCCGTGATTTTTATCCGTCTACACTACTTACTAGGATAAGATCATCCTCCAGTCTAGAACGGCCGGGCACGAGACACGTTTCCTCCGATCCGATTGCACGCGGCACGCGGCAAGTGAGGATTCCGTTGCGCAAGCTCGCCGACGAAGCGGCGCGGATCATCTGGGGTGACCGGCCGTCAGACCCGTGACAGCCAACAGTAGCGACGAAACATTCATAAGTAGTGCGTTTGCAGCCGGTTTCGGCCAGTTTCAGCGGCAAAAGCAGCCGGTGTGATTACTGTGATTCAGGATTCGCGATGTCACGTGCGAATCGAGACGTCAGGTAGAACTGGATAGTAAAGCTCCTTCTCTCACCATTGCCGGGATAACCCGATAATCTCGGTACTACTTGCAACTCCGTTTGATCTGTCGAGAGATCTCTCTCTCTCTCTCTCTCCTGCGCTCTTTCTTCGCTCGAAAGGCTAAAGGATTGACTGATCACGCTTCTTATTTATACGTTCTAAAGGTAAATTATGAAGATTGAGGCATGGAACAACAAGTGCATCAGAATTTGCACGCGCAATACCCACGTGAAGTTTGCATCGAACCGTTTCATTCTCATTCCTCCCCTTCTTCCTCTCAGCTTGCGGTCGATATAAAAAAAACGATATATATAGGGTGTCTCGAACGTACTCGTACTTATCACTTGTTACTTCAAGAACTTTTCTCTTAAACTAGAAGCCTCTAAAAATCAATATTCCTTACTAATAATAGTAGTTGACATAATTATAGTCAAATGTTTCTAAATTTTGTTTTTTCTGTGTCTTACATGGCAATTACCTGCAATAAATATTTTCTTTATTCCGACTTACAATATTTTTTATTATGAAAAATGATATACCTTGTTATATATTTATATACCTTTTATTATAAAACCTTTGTACATTTATCATGAAAACATCATACAGTTCTATATCAAAACATTTTGCTCATCCTATATGCTACATGATAATAAATGCTATAGAATATACTGTTATTTCCCCAAAAATTAATATAAATATGTGTATGATAGATCAAGAACAGCCTTAATATTCTCTGCGATATTAAAAACAAACGCTCTTATTTTGTTGAATACATCTTTTACAACTTACAATAACCGTTCTCGAAGGAATTATAGCACATTAAAAAATATACTTCGCTTTCGTTTCCTTCATTATAAAACTTGAAATCAAACAATTGTCTTATTATATAAAATACCAATTTTGGTAATCCAGATGTTAACATGACGAAGAAGGAAAAATGCATTAACAAGCGAATAACAGGTGATAGATAAGTAATAGATGAATGATGGTGAATCAAGGCAGTTGACGTAATAATACGTTTTGCAGCATCATCTTTTCGTTTATCGTCGCTGCTTCATCTCATTGCAGTCGTTGCGCTCAAGACACTGGATTTTCAAGTTTTGACCCAGGATTTAAAACTGCAAAATGTCCGTCGACGCATATAACACAGTCACGCACTGCATCTTCGATATGGACGGTTTATTGCTTGGTAAGGTATCGAGACGGCCGGTCAGATATCTTTCTGACCATTCGATTCGTCCTTATTGTCTGTCTTTTACTTCAGATACAGAATATCTGTACACCAAGGCTTTCAACCGTATCACCAATCGTTATGGCAAGGAGTTCACGTGGGAGCACAAGGCGCAAATAATGGGTTTCAAGAGCAAGGACGTTGCCGGATACATAGTTAAAATGTTGGAATTACCATTAACATCGGACGAATTCAGGCAAGAGATTACTGGAATCTATCAGGAGTTGTTTCCGCATACCAATCCCATGCCAGGTAATGCTCTAACATCGTAACACATCACTGATATCGGACTAAGTTGTTACGTAATTCTGATTGGTTTCCTGATACAAATTATACAATCCGTTGTGCACTGTGTTAATAGGCGCCGTTCGGTTACTGATGCACCTGAAAGAGAACAACATTCCGATTGCGTTAGCCACGGGCTCGGATCGAGAGAACTACGAGTTGAAAACGAGGCATTGGCACGATCTTTTTGAGCTCTTTCATCACAGAGTGCTCGGTGGCTCGGATCCCGAAATCGCGCGCGGAAAACCGGAACCTGACATATTTCTCGTAGCTGCCAAGCGTTTCCCCGACAATCCGGATCCTTCGAAGGTAACGTGACTTTCGGATACGGTCGTTTAATCATCAAGCGTAGCTTATAGAATATCATTTCGGTTAAGCATCATTCAGACTTGTAATTTCAAAGCTGATTGAAATCTAAGAGTCAATTATCTACAGTGTTCAAGACAGCAAATTTCTTTTTAGTGCCTGGTCTTCGAGGATGCGCCGAACGGCGTGAAAGCAGCACTTAACGCTGGCATGCAGGTCGTTATGGTGCCGGACCCGATGCTTCCCAAACGTTATACGAGCGAAGCGACCCTGGTCTTGGACAGCCTCGAGAAGTTTCAACCAGAGAAGTTCGGATTACCGCCATATGTGACGTAGTACATCCTTCTGTTGGTTTATCACGTGTGACACGGATTTCGTGGACGAAATCATCTTACTTTAAAAATAACTTAATTCGTAAAATTTCCTTAATCGCAATCTTTTGTGTTTCATTTGTATCTTATTCCTTAGCTGATTGGCATGTTTCTCATTAAACTTCTTTATCCGTGTCGTCGGACAGATCCCCCAGTTCGTCGAAATCCTCTTGCGAACCGGCACTGACAAACATTCCCGCGGGATTGGTACCGGCGTTGCTGAATATTCCTGTGATATTTACACATGAGAATTTGTTTCGCTTCAATTGTCTGTCAATTGCTTCTTTCAGTGTGTTGTACGCGGCTATCATATCCCGTGGACATTGAGATAACAGATCTGAAAACAAATTGAAACGCTTATTCTTATGTTTCTCTAAATATTGTAATATAATATGCGGCAAAAGAGATTATTACGTTTGTAAGCTGGTTGAGTAATGTCGAACATTTTATGGTAATAGTACAATTGATTGTACAGATCTGTTCCAGAATACTGAAAACGTACAAAAGTGTATATATATTGTATAGTTTCAAAATAAAAATATATGTGAAACTGATTCAATAAACCAACTTACAACTCGACTCATGGAAACGTCCTTGCACACTGAACAATCTGGAAACTTTTTCGTGAAATCTAACGGCAATCGTCTCGTTCTGTTGGAACAAAGTGGATTTTCGCATTCCAACCAGCCACTATAATACTTGCTAATTGCTTTTCTCATGGCAAGTTGAATTACATTCTGTATCACGTTTGCGTACTTCCAGGGTGGTAATTTACAGTCCTGATTGGGACACATGCTAAGTGTTAATTGGCGACCAGAATGCTGCAAAAAATAACATAAATATTGAACAATATAACCATCACAAAAAATGTTAATTGAGAAGATATGATAAAATATGATAAGATTGTAAAAGAAAAAGAATTATAAAAAGAAGCGAGAAACAGAGGCACTTACAAATTCTGTAACAGTATCCTTAATTATTATTTCGGTATTACATCGCTCGTTTTTACATTTAAATGTCAAAGGAAGACAATTATTGAACCTGTCATCGTTAATAGCCAGCGGTAAGTTCAGAGTTGCCTCGCAAGCTATCGTCTTCGGCTTGTAAACATATTGTAAACCTGGCGGACAAATTGGCACATAAAATCATGCATTATTCCATTTGTAGAGTCTACAGTAACTCTGAGATACCTAAATTGTTGGCTAAGAAGACGTCGTCGATACCCTCGATTGGGTCGCAGATTCGCAACACTACAGGGAATATTTGACTTAGTAGATAGTAATTAACGTCCACCTTTAATTTCTCATTATTCTTCACTTCGTCAATGTGATACGCTCGTTCCGTCGCGCTTGCATCGGTTCCATCCTAATGTTAAAATAATCTTCATTTCTGCCATCTTTTCGCAGATATTTTTATATTTCTATAATTTATTCGAAAAATTTGCAAATTAAAATTGTAAAATGAAAAGAAACCTCGCATATAACGTATGGCAGTGTGTCACCGGCTTTCCACATCCGACCACCTGCTTTATTTAGTCTGAGTGCCACCATAACGTGAGACAATTGTTTTTTATCTGGATACGCATCAGGATTTTTCGACAGTTGTTTAGTGATAACAAATGATGACAGTGGTGCCGTTCTCTCCTTTACACTTTTCGCAACGTTCTGCAGAATTTGCACAACTTGTTCCAAACGCGTTTCGCTCGAGTGATCGCAGAGAAGTATGTCCAAAATTTTTCTAAAAAAGAAGAAGCAAGATAATTCAAATAGATTAAATAGATTAAATAAAATTAATGTATGAAAATATATTATAGCACTTATATCTACTAACTTTCCAGTATCGCAGGCCAACGGACACCAGTCTCTCCTCACAATATCCAGACCCTTGTGTTCCTGCGCCATTTGTATTTGACCATTTGGTAATTTCGACATTGTAACTGCAGCGTATTTCTTCTTTTGCAAAAGCAACAGATATCGGAATACCCCGTCGATATCTAATTCAACTTTCTTGTATCGGTTGTTGACTTCGCGCATAATCTAGAAAATATTTAGTTCTATAATGTCGCTAATGAACATAAATGTAGGAAATTATACGAATTAGTACAAAATTATACGATGGAATATCCTTCTCACCTTTCTGCCGATCGAGAAAACGTCATCGTATTCCAAAATGTTGGTATTTATCATCAGAGAATCGGTGTCGCCATAAATTACTTCGTATTGCAGTTTCTCAACTAAATGCTTCGTATCCTCCAGAATCTCCCTACCCTTGGCTGAAGAACAGTAAATGCTTCATGTTAGCGGCGTTTTAAATATACAATATTTCGCGTCTTACCCGTTATCAGAGCGGCGAGACCTTTAGCGTAAAATCGACAATGCGTCGCCCCCAAACATCCATACATGGAATTGGCCGTGAGCTTCAACGCCATTTGCCTGATATGGTAATCCATTTTCTGTTCCGGCGATAGATTCGGCGCTTTCATGAGTTGCTTGATCTGCTGTCTGCTTTTGACTAATTTGTGAATCTCCGTCGGGATCACACCTGGCTCCAGATTTGACTCGGGAATATTTAATTGCTGCACCGTGCAAATTACGTTTTAGTCGAGAGTCGAGATATTTACTTCACGATGTTGTTTGCATGTAAGAAAATTACCTCAACGTCGGCATACGCCGCACCGGGCACGGTGGTGAAACACAAATTGTACTCTTGTATAATGCTCGGATACAAGGAATTGAAGTCCATCAGCAGTACAAGTTTGTCGTAGAAACCTTTCTTCGGATCAAGTACGAGGCCTCCAGCATACGCCGCAGCTTTCCTACGCGGGCCATCTAACATATATCTAGCATTAGCACACCTAGTACACATAATAATTTGGTAATAACGACAATGTATAAAAATATATTGAGATCTCACCATCGCCTCGCCCCTTCTTTTCAATTTTCTTATCCGGCGTTATGTAATCTTTCAAATTAAAAGCATGTAACAACAGATATTCGTTTCTCTCCGCTCTTCCGCCTAATAGCGTCCTTGATAAAATATTACCTATATTCATTCAATTCGCAAAATTTAATTATAATTGCATCATTATATTTTATAAATAAAATGAAAAATATAATGAAATGTACCTGCTAAACAAGTGATTTGAAGCGCGAGCGGTATAACGTTGAGATCCATCACTATAGTCATAATGTATTTTGCTTCTTTTAACGTCACATGCATTAGATTTAGCACTTTGTCCGCTGTATTGAAGAACAATAGAGTTTCCGCTGGCGTGATCTCTTTACATTCGTGTTCCTTCGTCTTTAATACCTAAATATTTGTCAAAATTAAGTTGTTTGGTCGGATAAACAACATAATACCAATATTACGAGTATCGTATGACTTACTGCACTGCAGAGTGATTGCAGATCATAACTTCTGACTTTTAAGTTCAATTCCTTCGCCGAAACTTGTATATCACAAATTGGACGACCAACGAATGCTTGATTAAGGATTATTTTCCCCTGTATAAATATTACATGTGTTATTTTATGTTAAAGAAATTATCTTATTTATATGCCAGTTATATAAATATAATTTTAATGTTTTACGTAAATATACCATACTGATTTTACTATTTTAACTTTAATTTACTTAAGAATTATGTATTTTACCCGAAGTAGGGGAGGAGTGGTTGATTTTAATCTTCCCATTCTGTTCCAATTGGATACTTTTAATGTAAACATTCTCTGCATCAAAACATCAAACTGAAATGCGCAGTCGTAGCCTATTATCAAATCGGGATCCGCTTTCTGCATTAAAGTTAACAACTCTTCGAGTAACTCGCTTTCAGTTTCGCATTTTATTACTTCGGTATTCGGAACTTTCAGGAAAGCATCACGAATTTGCCGCGGCCACGGAGTATCTCGTGGATGTGTGACAACTGTAAAGAATTGCAAATTAATTACACAGCCCTCATTAAGACATTGTCAATGTTTTGGCAGACGAATGAAAAAATATAATATCTGCGAAGAGTATTTTAAAGATAAAATAAAGAGTGTCTTGTTATCTAAGCCAACTAAAAATCTTTTTTCTGTTTCTAAATTACAGAATAAAAAAAATATTGCCATTTTAAAATGTTAATTTAATTATTAAAAAAAATGAAAGAAACGATTAATAAATAATGCAACGCAAAAGCAAACTTACAGCAAAATTGACGATCATAAGGCGGCTTTGGTGGTTCCTTATCGACATTGTACTTATGATTAATTAACACAGCAACCATTACTACTTCATTCTGCAATTTTGCGTTCAAAGACATCCTCACGTTTAGAGTCGCTATCACCATTGGTGGCTTAGGTTTTTCTTGGGAACACAGCGATATATTGTCCATGTCCGAAGTAACCACCTGTTGCATTGTGTAGTATAAAATATACTGTATCAAATTTATTTTTTATTGCTATATGATAAATTCGTTTACATACTATCTGTGGACACCACGCAACTCGTCCTGCAGTAGGCGATATATTCTTAATGTCTAACCAGCAAGGTCCTTTAATTTTTCGTTCTATAAGCAACAACTCTAATGCATTCACTGTTGTGCCAAAGACACGTTCTATCGCCAGACCCGAGTAATTAGAATCAATTGCCGGATAGCGTGCATTATATCTGATTTCCAAGTAGTCTGAAGTTTTCGGTGTACCCTCCTTTTCAAAGGCATAATGCTTCTTCACTTCTTTCAACTTAAACTCCGTCATATGCAGTTTGTTGGCATACTCATCGAACTCTTTGTACACGTCCTCCATAGTGGTTAATTGCGATTCGGTGTTTTTTATCTGCAATTCACGTAAAAAGAAACTGTATTTGATTTAATAATAATTAAGAAGTACCAGTACATTCATATCGAATAGATTAGAAAAGTAAAGGTACGTTAAAAAAAATATACATACATATTTTCTAGGCAAGACATATATTCTCCTTGGTATAGAATTCACCATAACGCAACACGAACAGTACGTATCGTGGCTTGATACATAAGTCTTGCCGAAGAGATACACAGTTCCAGGATTCTTGTAAGGGTTTTCGTAGGCATCCAGATAATAGAATCTAAACACCTCTTCCTCCTTTTCCGCATCTTTTGTTTTGATCAGTTGCGGTGCTACTTCCGTCAGATCAACGGCATTACCGATTTTCATACTTTTGACAGAAGTCTTACATGCAGCTTTTTGTACATCTATCCCATTTTTCTGAGATATAATGTTTTTCGCCGACGATGAGAAATCCATGTCCATGCTTCCATCATCAAAATCTATAGTAGATAGCTGCAATATATTTTATATATACATATATAGCTTCGTTTATCTTATTATTTTATAAATAATAAAATAAGCTAATAAGACAACTTACATCTCCGACACATTCACTAAGATCCACCGTAGGGCTATTCTCCTCCTCGATAATCTGACTTGCATTCTGCTCAATATTATTGGATTCTACTGGTTTTCTTATGCTTTGGTCTTCTGGCTTTGACTCTTTAATTTTTGAACAATTATTTGATTCTGCTGGTTTACTTATGTTCTTCTGCGGTGCATCAAATATTACACTATCATCTTCATCTTCAATTATCTGGCTTTCACTTTGTGTAATATTATTGGATTCCAACACGATTTTCTGCGGCTTTTCAGATATCACTTTATCAACCGGTTTTAGATTTGTAGATGAAGACTGATATGTTTGCCTATAATAAATGTGTATATGTTTATAATTGACTTCTACAAACTCGATATAAAAAAGCATACATAGTAGTACAAACAGAATCCATTGACTTACGTAATGTTAGAGTGAATCGTATGACAAAATTTGTTCTTGCTGCCTCCTGGTTTAGGACTATTTGTTGTCTTTTTACTCGCAGAAATCTCACTAAGCAATTCTCCCAAAATATCATCATCTTTGATCTGAGTTACATTAGCATCTTTCTTAGAAGGCATATTCCTAATCATACTTTGAATATCCCCTTTCTTCTTATCATCTTCCTTTCTTCTTTTTCTAGGTCCAGTCATGTTAGGCCTTTGTTTTCTCACTTCTTGGATGCTCTCCTCATCCAGATCATCATCAAAAACTTCCCTTCCATCTTCAATATAACCGCTTTCTCCTTCAACGTTTTAATTCAAATTTAATATATACATACCTTTTTATAGGCAGAATTAAATATGTTCTTATAATCCAGATAGCACAGTGACGTCAAATGACGTATTAATACCGTCATAATGCCGTCTTAATGACGTTAGAGGGCATTATGACGGAATTAATACGTCATTTGACGTCACTGTGCTATCTGAGAATATATCTATTAAGCAAGTTATTTTTTCAATGTAATCTACTTAAATCTAATTTAATAATAAAGCATTTTTTAAGTAATCAGTAAATATGAGAACTTTATACCATCGTCGACTATCCAATCGTCCCGTTGGCGCTTTAGAACAGTGTTACTGTACTCTTTCTCATCCACTTCGTCGTAAACATTTTCTAACTCTCCAATCTCGTACTTGCGCTTGCTACCACCGCTCCGAGCCTCCTTCAGTCTTTCCAGAGCCGAGAGTCTACCAGTCTTATCGACCTTCTGACGCCTGGACCTGCCGGACGTAGACGCTAAAACATTGTTCAGCAAGATAAGACTACAGTGATTATCTTAATTGTACATACGTAATAAAATAACAATGTCATATAGGTACAACGCATTCTAACTGTATATCATTTATGGAAGAACTGTTCTTTCAAATTAAACTCAAATTATAAGGATATACTCAATTATGCTTGTCTACTGAGTTATCATTTATAGAAATACATGTAAACAAAAGATATGGTAAGTATCCAAATTGAAGGTCCAGGGCAGTTCACGAATATAATGCATTTATCGCGATGGGATACTCGGTTGAAATTGTACCGCCGTCTCATATTATTCTCTCGATCACTTGGCGATCTACCTACCTTGCGAATCGTCCATTATCCTTCCCGTAAATCGCGTTTATCAACACAAGCACGCACGAGGCATTCGTTCCGTGACAGTCTCGAGTGACCCCATGAGTTTTGGCGGGAGATGAATCGATCCCCGGCGAGAGAACCTCGCGATATCGCGATTCAATTCGATTCGAGATCATTCGAGTTCTGAGTCGTGAGTGAGGTTCGTTCTAAAATGGAATTGGGCGCGTTCAGCAGAACAAACCGCTCAGTAGCGATCGAACATATGATTGGGCGCGTTCAGCAGACCAAGCCGCTCAGTAGCAGTCGAACGTGATTGGCTCTTACTTTTAGAACCAACCAATCAACGCAGCGTGTTGATAAGACGAACTCAACAGTTGTGTCTGCTGAACGCGGCCATTGGCTCTTACTTTTAGACCGCAGCGCAGCGTGTTTACCTATATTTAATTTTTTTCAAAATTAATGACTATATTGTAATCATATTTACTGATCCTTTCTTTTTTCTTTTCAACGTATCCTGTTGCGTCAATATTATAATTTAGCTTGGACGTGATGTAAACGGGGAGCGTTGCAAAACGTGACGTTGAAATTCAAATGACGCCTGATTTTCGCGCGTTGTTCAATTTCGTCGACGTTCGACGTCACGATTTCAGGCAGAACGGTGCTCCGTTCTATGTCGTGCTCCATGCTCTCGAATTTCAACTTCAACAACCCGTCAAATTTCGTAACGAACTTCAGACAGCGAAGGTTTTATATCTAACGAGCCGCAGGGTGTCGAGAGGGTAAATATATATTCTCTTCTTTACGGTGGAATGCTCGTGTAACAACACTCGTCGATTGGTCGCTAATAATATGCATCTATTCATGATCGCTTTGCGGATGGTAATATAATGCCGGACAATTTCGGAGCGACCCGAGCCTCGATAATGACTCCTAACCGCGAATCTAACGTTTTCCACGGATGAGCGAGTGATAAGGGAAAAAAGAAAGAACAGAAAAGGACTACGCAAAACGCTGACTTCTGGTCTCGTCGACTATGTCTGCGTGAGATGTGTTTATTGACAAGGAAATATTTCTTCGTTGCACTTGATTAACCTATTTAAAGAGAGCAATTGTCCTTTTGTAAATTGAGATGAAGGTGACATGAGTTCTGTTCTATTTCAGCCGAACTTGTTGCACGGTTCATCTTTCCTCCTTTTCTTTCCAACGTGAGAAGTAAAAGAGGAAAGATGAACACCGTGCAAGAAGTTCAGCTAGAACGAACAGGCCTATGGTCAACGTGTCAGCAAGAACCATTGTCTTCCTCGCATTGTCATTGTATATTACGGTTCAATATTTGCACATTATATTAATTTGTAAACAGTCCCATTTGAAAAAACGCACTTATTTTGTCCGTTATTTTTTGTAATAAACGGTTTTTCAACATGTCAATGTGTCAAAAGTGACATAGCACTTTTATATTTTTGTAACGTTATGTAGTCGATTGCCTTCATAATAAAAATGCAATTTCAGTTATAATGTCAAAGACGCACAGTCCAACGCATTTTAATGGGGAAATAGATAACTTTTACGATCCAAACTTTTCTGTGGACATCAACACGCGGATGCGAGTTCCGAAGAGCATTCGTGTAAACGGAGATTACCCGGACGACGATATTGCTATCACAGATAGAGCTACGTGGAATCAAATACCTGCTATGGAGAAACTTGAAATGCACGTGCCAGAAAGGATTCTTGTTGTCGGTGAGACGATTCTCAAACGATTAAACTACTTTCGCGTTTGTTACGGAAATCTTTTATTACGCTTGCTCGTTTGCGATGGTCTTACATAAATTTATCTATTGCAGGACAAGAGCAGCATGTTGGTACCAAGGCACCACCGCCAGAGATTGTTTTAGAAAATGCTGTAATGCGCACCGAACCTGCTATAGTCAGAGTACAGGTAAATATACTAAAAAAAAAATTTTACAAGTCGATAAGTTTGTCATTAAATATTTGTCGTTGTCAACAGACACCTCCGAGAATTTTGACTCTGGACAATCATTACTTCCCGGCGGTGGATGAAGAGGAGCTTCTTGAAGATGACGATGAAATCATAAAGCCAATGGAAGTAGCACCTAAAACATATAATGCAGAGACACAGATAACAAGACACGTCAGGTAGAGACCTCTTTACATTACTAGAACAGAATATTTTGCAGAATATTTTATTTCTCATTTGGTGTCGTATCCTCACATAGAGAACAAACACCCTTTAATCCTCTCGACGTGTCTCTACCGCCCAGCGAGGAAGTTCAGCACTTACGTCGTCAAGTAGGTAAATTAAACCGCAGAGTGATGGCACTCGAACTAGACATGCTACATCGTCAGCAGAGAGACAAGCTTCTGTATATCGCGACTATAGCATATTTTATTCTAAAAGCCTTCTCCTGGATAACTAGAAACTGAAGAGAGTTGATAGAGAAGGAAAAAGGGGTAAGAGTAATGTCAGAGATATTTATTTCCTTAGAACAAAAAATGTCAAAAACCAACATCTCGAGCCATTCTTGCTGTAAGAAAGTATAACCAAAGACTTTTTATCAGCGTCTCGTGTGTCATTGGAGATAACGGTACAGCATATGTGTGAATGTTTCTATATCGTACGATTAGAAAGACAGATGACAAGTGTAATGATCGATCATCTCTCTTACCGTATTAAAAGTAAATCTCCCTTAACTTTAAAGGATATGTATGTACTCTATTAGATTTGACAATATGTATATGTTATTGTTAATGTATATACAGCATTTTTGGGGAATTAATAAACTGGGTTAATTTTCATATGATGAATATACCAAATGATAGTCGCACATATTAAATTTGTTAAGCTGAGTATCTCATTTTTCTATATTCTCAGTATTACAATGACATTCTTAGAAACAGTTTATTTGTCGGTGCGATATCGTGAAAATGGTATTTATTCGATTGCTGTATTTATTCGATTTAGTACGACTTATTTCTAAGTAGTTGTTTCTTCTTTGTGGCCATAACACTTAGAATTGTAATCCTAACATATATTGTGACTAATGAGATCAATAAAGTTATTATTATCAAAATTTTATAACATTACAATTAATGTATAAAATTATGTAATTAGGAACAATCTGTACTTATGAGACTCCACGAGTCAACATGAAAACCTTTGTGACAAATTATATTTATTTTTGTACTTCATACTTTTTGTCATTTGGATCACTTATAGATAATTGCTTTTGAAATCATAATAAAGTGTATTAATATATTTTGCAAAATTTATTTTTTATTTTTTTATCATATTAGTACAAGACTTGGTTTCCTATATATTTTTTGGCAATCTAAAAAAGATTATTACAATAATGCATGATTGCATGTAATTTTGATCATCGATAGTTACTGACGGCGAAAAGTTTTCACATAATCCAAATTCAAAGATAAATAAAGGGGAGGAAAACGTACTTGCTTCGGCGATACATATAAAATTAGGACAATATAGAAAACACATTAACGTATAAATATATTTATAATATATAATAATTATATAAAATATAATCTAAAAGTAGTAGTGCCCGATTTCGCCGTTAGACGGCGAAAACTTGTAACTTTTTATTTCTCGTTAGTACACTTGTTTGTATTACTCAATATATAAACCCTATTGTAAGAGCGAAGTAATGTACTTGCTTCGGCAGTACATATACTAAAATTGGAACGATACAGAGAAGATTAGCATGGCCCCTGCGCAAGGATGACACGCAAAATCGTGAAGCGTTCCACATTTTTTGCTACCTGGGGTAGCGATCACGTAACTTTTTCTCTAAAGCGGAAACGTGGAAAGTTTCATGTAACTATCTCTTTCTATTGGTGTTGAATAGAGAGAGATAAACTTTTCACTTTTCACGTTTCCGTCCTAGGGGAAAAGATACATGATCGATCTTCTGATATATATTCATTATTTATTCATTATTATTTTTAATTCATTATTGTATATTCATTATTTAATTTAATGAATGAATATTATATTTTATGACTTATATTATAATATATATGATTTATATTATACGATTATTTATAAACTAAATGTCCTAATGATTGAAATGATAAGAAGGCGCGATTAGTTCCATGGTTATTAATTGATAATTAATGGCACTTGGCATCACGAAAGAATTAATGTCTATAATACATAAAAGTTTTGTTTATCGGTGTGGTGGAAAAATATTAATAAATATTAATAAATCTATAATTTAAAAGGAATACTTAAATTTAAGTTCCACTAAAATTAAATAATAATAAAATAATTAAAATAATATTGACATAAATTAAAATATTAAAACTTTAGATGTTCTCTTTTAAAGAATTAAGAATATTCTTTAATTTATTATACTTAAATATTCTTGGAGTATATTTTTAAGTGTTAGTTTAGCATTCTTATGTATTAATTCGTTTGATAAAAGCATTAAAATTTCTTTAGACCCGTATCCGTAGTCCGTTCTTATTTCAAGACCGTCTTAAGTAATGTCTCAAGATGCTAATTACGGCTCCGATATCTAATTATGATACATCTTAAGATTGTACTTAAAACGGTATTAAATATAGAGAACCGACTGAATACCGTTCTATGAATACCGGCCTATAAATACCGGCTTTTATGAATACCGGCCAAAGTTAATGACAACAGATTTATTCGTATGTACTTTTTGGCCGAAAATGAACGTTTTTTTAAAGAATCTCTATATGAAATCGTTTGTATTTCGTATGAAGATTTTTGAAGTGCAGTTGAAAAAGTTTGTGAATCATTCATTTAATTTTAATTAATTATTTATTTTTACACCATGCATTTAGCCGAAATAGATAAACTAATAAAAGTTTTTATATGGAATCGTTTGTACTTTCTATGAAGAGTTATGAAGCGTGATTAAAAAGGTTTGTGAGTCACCCAAATAATTTTAATTAAATATTTATAAACTCGGTAAATCAATTATTAGCTCGATTAGCCGAAATACAGATTTTTAGTTAATCATATTTAAAGAAGAAGGCGCTACTTGTTCCCGAAATTCCATTGACTGTCGCACCACCTACATATGTAGGTAAAATGCATGGTGTAAAAATAAATAAATAATTACAATTAAACGATATGATTCACAAACTTCGTCAATTGCACTTCAAAAGTCTTCATACGAAATACAAACAATTTCATACAGAGATTCTTTAAAAAAACGTTTTACGAATTCACGAATTCTTCTTCGGAGTGCGGTCGCGGAGTCGTCGTCGGCTGGGGAAAACCTAGGGAAATTTGCCTGAAATCGCGGATCGACATGCCTGCGAGCGCGAGTGGAAACGGGAGGTCAGTGCACGTCACGTAGTTGTTGCTCGAAGCCGTCGAAGCCGAGGAATCCGTTCGGTGACTTCGGTTCGGTCGTCGTTCGCGGTGGCTCGTCGGTGCTCACAAGTGGGATACGCAGCGGAAAACTGTTCTGTCGAAGACCTCCCGAGCGGGCCGGGGACATTTGGTGCGCGGTCAGGCTCGGTCTGCTCGCGCTCGGTTCGCGCTCGACGGCCACGGCTACATCGGGCGAACGCGCGCGCGCGCGCGTGGAGGAACAGCGGGAACCGTGGTAGAGAACCGCGGAATCGCGGACGCCGTGCGCGACGACGACGACGACGACGACCCGGAGGTGTGTGTGAATAACCGAGCCTACCGCGAGGAAACAACGTCGGCGAGCGAGCGACAGTGAACGAGAGTGAAAGAGAACGGACGGACGATCGCTGGATGTAAACGAGCCTCGCGATCCCAGCCGGTGCAACCCTTTTCGACTTCAACCGCCTACTCTGTCCTAAGAACCTACCTCGTCCCCTCCGATACGGTTGCCACCGCCGCCGCCGCCGCCGCCGTCGTTCGACGCCCGCCGCCGACGTCGACGACGACGACACGCGAGGCAGCCGCGCGAGTCGCAGGTTATGTCAAGCGGATTGGCAGGCGCTGTCTCAAACCAGGTCAGTGTGTTGTGTTGACGCGCTACGCGCCGCGCCGCGCCGTGCCGCGCTGCGCCGCGCCGCGCCGTGCCGTGCCGCGCCACGCCGTTATTGTTGCCGCTACCGCGGCAGACAACTGACACATTATCATCTCCCCTCCCCCTCCCTCTTCTCGTACCTGCCTGCCCCCCTGCCACAGTCACGCTGCCGAGGGTTGGCACTTCTCTAAATTTTGTATGTTTTTTCATGCGACGGCATGCAGCGGATGAAAGGACAAACCGGCAACCAAGGTGAGTACCCCGCCAGCAACTGGCGCCGACGACTTCCCCTGCCTTCCTCCTCGCTGTCACTCGGACGTCTTAAGATCCCTCGTAGAAGGAGCGCGCGTTGAATGAGAGCAGCGAAGAGCGTACTCTTTTATTGGAGGATAATGCTACGTTAAACGTTCGGACGCTCGGAGAAATATAGTTGTGTATACATTGAAGTACTGATAGAGCCGAAGAATAAGTCTTGTTGCCTGGGTAATGAAGAAATTGAAGCTGGCAGAATGTTCTTCAGAATGAAATTCAAAGATTTAAATGCACTGTATCGGTAATCTGAATATCTCTGTAGAATACGACGGTGATTGATTTATCATTAGATTTAATTTCAAACCTTTCAACTTGCATAACTGTAATTATCGAGTTAGAAACTTGTCTCTTGTTAATTTACTTATCTGAATGATGTAACTCCAATGTAAGGTAACAATAAAAAGTTGTGTAAATCATCTTAATCGTGCTGTTCTAGTATCTGCAATGCGAGTTTATATTTACTTCGGGAAACATGAAATAATATTAACAATATCTTTGTGAGGGACGAGCAATATCTTGGCTGCTGCTTTATCACGTGTGCCTAATCGCTACGTATACCTTTGAGCACTGAGTAAACGCAGTTCTGTTTCGGACAGTGAGCAATGGTCCTAAGGAACACCAGCAGCAACAGCAAACAGAGCATGCCGCTGGCGAGGACACTGGTTTCGACTCGTGGCGGGGTGGCAACAATGCTCAGCATCACTCGAGTTATCCGATCGGCACCGGCGATCCGTACAGCCCGTACTACGCCGGTACCTCGTTCCCTTATCAGACCTTCGGCGCTGGCGACGGCACCTGGTCGAACGGCACCGATCCGGTCGCCTTTCTGTCCGGTTACGGCGGTCAAATAGGCCACGATGCCTATGGCATGGATGGCATGTTCTCGGCGTCGGCAGCCGGTGGTGGTTTCAGCGCGTTCGGTCAGCCGCCATTCAACTACTTTCATAACAACGGTGACTTCAATACATGGGGCACCCCAAGGAGAACCAAGTATGAGGACTACTATCAGCCACCGCGCGGCAACGAGAGCTATGTTAATCCGGCGGCGAGCGGCACCGGCGAGATCAAGACCATTGACCAGGGCGTGCAAGGTCTGTCGATCGGCGGCAGCGGCGGTGGTGAGCTACCACGGCAGGATCAGCAGCATCCACAGCAGGCTACGGCGCAGCAGATCAAGCCCGAGCCGAAGGAACCGAGAAAGATAACGTGGGCGAGTGTGGCGAGCCAACCGGCGAAACCGGTGCCGCCGCTCTCGTCCTCGCAGGGAATGAAGAAGAAGGCGGGCATGCCGCCACCGCCTATCGTGCCGGGCAAGCACAACATGGACATCGGGACGTGGGGCGAGGGTAAGTCTTCCGCACCGCCGCCGCCTACGGCGCCCCCGCCACCGCAGGTACAACCGCCGATTCCGCCACCGCCGCCGCCCGTTCAGAGGCAGCAACGACCGCAACAACCCCCACAGCCGTGCTGGAACAGACAGCCGTCGGTGACGGCGACGCCACCGATCCCACAACCACAGTCGCAAACGCAAATTCATATGCCGCCGCAGTCGCAGCAGCATCAACAGTCGCATCAGCAGCACCATCAGCAACAACATCAGCACGTACAGCAACAACATCAACAGCAGCAGCAGCAGCAGCAACAGCAACAACTTGCCCAGGGCAATCCATCGCATCCGGTCCTCGACGAACTAAAAGTGAAGAACGACTACAATCCTGTAGATTTTGATCAGACCGCACCTGGCGCGAGGTTTTTCGTGATTAAATCCTACTCGGAGGATGACATCCACCGGTCCATCAAGTACGAAATTTGGTGCAGCACGGAGCACGGTAATAAACGGCTGGATCAAGCTTACCGGGAAGCGAGTCGCGAAGGTGCGCCCCTTTATCTGTTTTTCTCCGTAAACGGATCCGGTCATTTCTGCGGCATGGCGCAGATGGTCTCCCCTGTTGACTATCAGTCCAACAGTAGTGTCTGGTCCCAGGACAAGTGGAAGGGTCAGTTTCGCGTCCGTTGGATATACGTGAAGGATGTTCCCAATGTGCAGCTGCGACACATTAAGCTCGAGAACAATGAGAACAAGCCGGTAACCAACTCGCGAGACGCACAAGAGGTCCCGCACGCGAAAGGTATCACGGTACTGCGTATCCTGCATACCTATCGCCACTCCACGAGCATCTTCGACGACTTCGGGCATTACGAGCGCCGGCAGGCTGAGGAGGATCAGCGCAAGGCTCCACCCACTGTCATACAGCATCACCATTCTTCCTCCAATCACAGGAACAGGGGACATGCCTCCGATATGTCCAGAGATCACCATCAGCACGGTCACCAGCCTCATCTGCATCAGCGCAAGGTAGATATCCGTTGAGTTTGATCTGTACTACGACAACGAAATTATCTCCAAAACGAGAATGTTCGCTCACGGTCATCTAATGAAATCATCTTATTCTCTTGCAGGAGCGCGGTGGTGGTCGTGGTGGTAGAGGAGGATCGCGCCAGTAGCGCCTGATATTGCGGAGACGTAATGCCGTTAACGAGAGTAATCGATGTAAAGGAAGCACGCTACGACTAATAATCACGTCCTACCACTTACCTTTGCTTTCCTGGATCCACGATGGGCTTCTTCTGTTTTCCTGTGAATCGAACATTCGTTGTTGACCTCGGCCGCGTTGTTCTTTCGTTGAAATGATTAATCCGATAATCAGATTACACTAGCATCGCGTCGGCATCATCGTAAAATAATATATAACCACAACTTATGAGGAAAAGGAAAAAGAAGAGAGGAAACGGAGAAGGATAATACAACAATTTCGAAGGATATTTGATTAAACTCGCTGACGATTATAAAGTATATAGTGTGGTGTTGCGTGCTATTCATCGAAAGGTGTTTCTTAAACGTACAAATCATAAAACAGGACAGAAGACAGGAAGAGAGAGGAAGAGGGGGGGGGGAAAGAGGGAAAGAAAGAAAACGCGGTATAGAAAAAAAAAAAAAAATAAAAACTGTAATATGTGGACTAATCCTTGTAAAATGCTTAAACTTTTGTTGAAAATGAAAAAATCTATACAAGAACATTATATTATAAACAAGTGTCATTTGGATTGGTTATATATCGTTTTAAATACCAATGAACATTCAATCTGGTGCCTGCAGCTCGACAGAAGGGTCGAATTTCCCCTTAATTGTTAATAAGGTGCAGGGGCTTGTTACAACGTTTTCAGTTGTATTTATAACCATCATGCTTCACAAAATGAATTATACAGAAAATTATTGGCGTTTATTTTAGCGCGTATTCTATATCTGTATTGCGAATATATCATCTATTATTATATTATTCATGGACTACAGAGAAATGAGTTGAGGATAATATAACGCGAAAAGTGAAATAATATTACAATTAATCTACTGTAATGTACACATGTACTGTAATGACGACGATCATTATTATTGTACCATTTGATGACGTTTCACGAGATATGATTCTTATTGTTAAACGCATGTCTGTTTTTTCATTAGATGATTACATTCTTTACAACGATGGCAACGTTATATCGTGAGTAATACTGAATAATATAAACAAATTCGTGTCCCTTGATTTATGGGGACAGATTTTTCTTTAGCGTTAAGTATAAGTAGATGCTCTTATTTGAAAATTAAAAAATTTAGTTTTTAAATTTTATAAAAAATCATGTAAAATTAAAAATTAAAAATAAATATTAAATTTTATATGGCACTCAACTCAAAAACTATTGATAATTCAACGTTCTGCTTTTGATTAAAAAGAAATCTAAATCTGTTTCAAAGAAACAATTTTTTGTCAATATTATTCAGGATTACTCTGTATAAGGTAGTGCTATTTTTATAAAGGACAAGAAAAATTGCTTGTAAAATTTATTAGCAAACCTCATAGGTTTGAATCGATTAAGGGATCGGTATTGAAAACACCGATAAATCCATTCATGCGTTAATTGATTAATTAAGCCGTTATCAATTCTTTATGACCAATCATGTCGAATTCTTTGTCCATGCATTTGTTCGCATTAACATCATCCTCCACGTTTTGCGCGATTATATTATCCGCAAGAAGCTTCTGTTCATTTTCCCTTTCTTGTATCTTTTTAGCTTCAATGTCCACGTCATCCTGCAGCATACCCTGCTGAAGAAAATAATCGCGCAGGTTCTCCCGGACTTCCTGGCAGAATTTGTCGCGGTTCGCCTCAACATAGCGATACACGAACAGATCAGCGCCGGTAATGACGAAGCGATGATTGTACACGTTAATGCGCGCGCCAATGAAAAGATCCTGCGGCGTATAGTACTCCGGATTGTCCTTTCCCGTACACGGCTTCGGAATCAGCCTGGAGGATAGGAAGCAACCCTCGCGTCGACCCGAATTACGCTTCTCGGTCTCGTTGATTTGAATGGTGCCGTCGCTCAGGCTGTACTCCATCACGAAGTCGCGACCCTCATCCTCTGGGTGCACCGCATCCATTCGCGCAGAGTAGCGCAGCTTCTTCGGGAAGTTTGCCAGTTGACGAATAACATTCTTCTTGGGTGGCTTCGGTATGAACGACAAACAGCTGGCGTACGTGTCCTCGGGACTGCCAAACTTTATGTGCGGTGGTATCTCGTACTTCGCCGGCGCTGGCCTTTCCATTCTCGCGGGAACCGGAATCGCGTCTGGTTGCGGTGTACCCAACATGTCGGAGTAATATTTGCGCGTGAAAGCATCGCAATCGTGCAACAGGAAGCGTCGTCCGAATAGGAGGATCGTTTCGCCTACCTGAAGACGAAGTAATAACATGATTTTGAATTCGCTTTTATTTGCTTTATTTAATATTTATATTTGCATATGAACGTTTTTCAAAAAATATATTTAATGTGATCAAAATTCTTAAAAATCATCAATTTACAGGTTTTTTTTTTTAATTCGGTATTATCTTGAAATATATAAAAGAAACTCGCTTCTTGGTCCTTGAGCTTTGCTCGGTTCTCCTTTTAGGCAACAATTTTAAAATTACATTCTGTAATCAAATAGCGTGAATAGGGATGTATAAATTATTATCCATTATTAATACTTAGACCTATTTAATTAAAATGTACTATTACAACAAAATAGCACGAGGCTGAAAATAGGTCTTACTCAGGCAAATTAGTCTTACTCTAAAATCTTGCGGCGTGCAGTACTCCACGATTTCGGGATCCCCGTATTCCATGTAGATACTCGGGTGCCAAGACGGTAGACTCTGCCAGTTCTTGGGTACGCGCATTCGCCTCAGCAGCATCGCCACGGGATCCTTGCCGTCGTTGGGCTCGTGAATCTCCCGGATTGCCACGGTATCATCCGTCAGGAAATACATCACTCGATAGTGATCGTCGTTCCACGTGGCATCGAACGACAGCACCATACCGTCGTATTCCAGGAAGCGTCGCCGAGGATCATCGCCCAACGCCCGCGTGATCCCCGTCGGTGTTCTGCACTTGGCGTCGCGCTGCTCCGTGTAAGGATCCGCGGGAAGACTCTCCTTTTCGCCGACATCGATGCCTTGACTCGTCAGGAACTCTCTGGTGAACGGATCACAGTCGACGATGTGATAAACCACGCCATAAATGCCTAGAAGAAATGTACTCGATTCTATTAAGAATCGGTTGTATGTCCAAGGTTGTCGCCCGAGCAAAAATCCTAATTATTGAAATATAAATTTATACATACATGTATGTATATTTATATTTTAACAGTCAGGATTTAATAGCGTTTGATATTTTAATAGTGATATTTTAATTTTGTGTGCACATGAGTACACACACACACACAAAGTGTCTCAAGAGTTTTTTAATTTCTTGGTCAAAGAACTTATTATTAAATAATTATTGGTGAAAAATATATATGATTTAATTTGTTCTTCCTACAATATACCGAGGAATTCTGTACAGATAAAGAGAATGCTAAGAAATATAGACAGAAGGAAAAAGGCGAAAGAAATACGTCAACATACAAACATCAATCCCGACATTGAAATCTTTCCAGATGAACAGGTCTCTCTTGACATTTTTCGGGATTCTGCCGCGTCTCACCAGCTTGCCCTGCCGGAAACCAGCGTTCTTTACCACAGGCTCTATCACGCAGAGCGTGTCGTCTTCCAGATAATAGATGATGTCTACATGACGAACGCGATAATGCTCCTCTGGGGAATTGAAGACTCCTTGGCGAAAGAAGGCCTTGAAGCGAAGGCACTTTTGCGCGAACACCGCGTAATGTGGCACGAATTGCCGATACACGTAGCAAGGCACCCGGCCATAAACCGATGATATATCATATCTGTTAATAATAATAAAAATTAAATAAAGTCAAATAATTATTTCAATCGCGATTAAATAACAATATAAATACATACACTATATAATATTTAATTAACACACTTGCTATTGTCTATAAAATGATGATATAATATTGATAATCAAGTATTGTTTACCTGTTTTAATTTTCAAAGTTTATCCGAACGTATCGAGATAAAAGCAGAAATCATTTTACGTTCATTAATATGTTCATTAATATGAACTATTTTAATTATCCTAATAAATTGGAAAATGTGATTTTATGGCGATTCAATTCAAAATCGTAAAACAATTATTCTAATTACTTTCAATAATTCCAATAATCATTTTAATTAGTTCTGTAGATACATTGTTTTATAGAATAATATAATTAATATCAATGCGACGGAGTTTTCGAATAGAGAGATCCGCCGTTACTTACTCCACGGGATCTAGACCTTCGGCATATCGAACGGATGCTGCGTCCGTTAATCTTCTTCCGATGCCGTAATTGGTATCGCGTACCACAGGAAAGCCATTTAAAACATCAAGCTTGTGCGGCAATTTGTAATCCTTGACCTTACGAAACGAGGCGATTTGTTCAATACGTCATTAGTTATCAAAGCACCAATTTGAAAAACTACACCCTCAAAATCAATAGCCCACGCAATTCTCCCAATTATTATTCTCTTGATAACGTGGAAATGAAGAGAAAGCTTAATTACAATTATATTCGGGCACTTACGCTAATGTCTCGAAAGGTGTATCCCGGTAAAAGGGGTAAATTTGCCATACCGACGATAAAATGTCGTGTCGAGACTAGGAACGACTCTTCGGCCGAACGCCGACATGTTCGCTGTCGATCGATTCACAACTCGCTGCGCTCGCTCGTTGACTTTAAGATTAAACACATTTCTATAACAACGCGACTGCCTATCGATTTAACTAATTAACCCCCATACCCCATATCGCCATATAACCGGTATCCTCCGCAAAAAGGATGGTGTGGATCTATTCTGGATTGCGAAGAGAGGAAATTGAGATAAAGCGCCACGAAGCGAATGAAAATTCCTTTGTTCGACCATTTATTTGTTCAGAACTTATTGACAACAGCAGTATTTGGATGGTTTTCTGCGTCTAAAGCGCCTCGGTTGTTCGCAACTGCGAAGGATCACAAAGTAATTATCTCGCGGAAAATGGCCATGCAACCGGCGGACAGGCAGCCGGCCATCGGCACGGTGATCAGCCACGCGAACGCGATATTGCGAAACAGCTTCCACGACACCCCCTCGCCGCCACGCGAGGCCCATCCTACACACACCACCGATCCCACTTTACAGTGCGTTGTTGAGATGGGTAGACCAATTTTACTTGCTAACAGGACCGTCACCGCGGCACCCACCTGCAATCGAAAGTTTCATGTCGGTTTCAACGAGATAAGTAATACATAATTCAGTGAGTGGAGAGAAAGGCTCAATGTCTATGAAATCAAACAGGAAATGACTTTGTCATATTCTCTGAAACTCTGAATATAATATATGTAGAGGAGAAAGAGATAAAGAAGAATGGAATATTATTAATTCCTTTAGGCTTACAATGTTCATTGCATTGGACAGCAAATCAGGGATCGCAACTTATACTTTGAGAAAAGAAAAAAAAATTAAAAAATTTCATGAGATGTTGCGTGTAATGGACATCAATTCTTATTAGTCATGAAAATCGTGTCATAAATTTATTCTTGTATGTACTCAGATATACGATATATTTTTCTGCGCGATAAAAATCGGAGACCGAAAAGATTAACTCCGTTTTACACAGAATTCCCCGAAAATAATCAGTTCTCTAAGGGCCGCGCGTTTACCTCTATGGTGAATCCGGTCGTGGGAGTGATGCGGGCCAGATCCTGGCCCAAGGTCCGTATAACCCTGCGTCCCCACACCCACAATCCCGTGGAGATACCTAGGCCGCCGTACAGCAGTATGAGTATGGGTGTTTCGGCCTCCTGCCGGGCCGAACCCTCCGCGTATACCGCCCAGAGCGCGATCAGCGGCCCGATCGCGTTACTGACGTCGTTGCCGCCGTGCGCGAAGCTGCCAAACGTCGCGGTGAGCACTTGCAGAAAGGCGAACAGCCTCGATACTTCCGGCTGCTCATCGTCGTCTACTATCCCGTCCATCTGCGCGTTCTCTGCGTCCGCCTGAGCGACCATCAGCAACGGGCTCTCGCTGGTGTTACCGCGCAACTTCGGCGCCAGATCGGCCTTCGCGTTACCATTGCTGGTGTCGCAGGGAGCCTCCGAGATCACCGACAACGCCGTTGTCTCGTTATTCTCTTGGCAGGAACCAAAGTGCGCCGCCGTCGTTGCCGCTGCTTTCTCGTCGCTGCCGTTCGATGACAATAGTATTCTCGCCCTCTGTCGTGGCACCACGAACACGTATACGTACAACGCAGTGAATTTGCCCGCCAGCAGCGCGATTATCAAGCTACTCCACCACGGCAACTTGTCCATCTTTAATACTGACATATTAAAAAAACACATTTGAATAAGAAGAAAAATTTAAGATGATGAAGAGTATTGCATGAAGTATATCATTCCCCACAATATATTTTTCTTTTCGCTCTCTTGAAAATATGATTTCAAATTTTGGGATAAAATGACATACTTTATTTTTCAAAAATACTTACGTTTAGGTCCATCAAGCGCAATTGACATAATATTGATAGCAACGGTCAGACCGTATGCTATGGGGAGAATATAGAGACCTTGTTCAAATGGCTTGTTAGACTGAAGCACGGATTTTCTCAAAACCCAAAAGATACTGGCAGATACAATCCCGCTGAGTATAGGGCTGGCAAACCAGGACGCCGCTATGTTACCGAGAGCTATCCATTTTACCTGCGACATCAATACGGCTTTAAGTTAGATTACTACATTCATGGGCTATGCTACGTAACGCAATCGCAACGCGTCGTGGTGCTACTAACCCCGGCGGTACCCCGGCACACGAGCGAAAATCCAACTGTAGCACCAACAATGGAATGCGTACCGGAAATTGGAAGTCGTAACGCGGTAGCCACCAGTAGCCAGATACCGGACCCAGCTAGACTGGATAACGCCCCTATCATCAACTCCTTCTCGTGGCCCTCGTACAACGAGACGTCCAGTATACCCTTTCGCATTGTGTCGGAGACCTGCAGCGGAGGGATAAATCGCCAAGTGAGAACAATTTCGCAGAGGTCCAACTTATTACTATCGGTCGCTCTATAAAATCTGTGTGCGAATCTTGCTTTCAGAAATAAAGCAAGCGAGATTAAAGTAAGTTTTGAGAAATATAAACTATATACATTGTTCCTTCGGTTTATAATAATATTTTTTATTCATTTACGAAATGAATAAGGAAGTTTGACAACGGGCGTTGTCTCGATACCTACCTTGTATCCTATCAGAACAGCACCGGCGATCTCGAAGACGGTCGCCAGGGCACAGGCTTGGAATATCGTGAGCACCCCGGCGCCGACGCTCGTCCCGAAGCTATTGGCGACATCGTTGGCGCCGATGCCGAACGCTAGGATGAACGCCACTATAAAGCCGACCACTACTATCCAGATCAAGCTCTCATCGTACGGTATACTCATTGTTCTCGTTTCTAACTTAAATCTATTCTGCTTGAGCTTTCGATGCAATGTGTTTGTTGCGTGTATGTTGCTTCTATGCGATTATCCTCCTACTACACGTGTGCATCCGTCAGAAAATTGATAGGCATAAAAGTTATCATCTTCTCTCTTTTTCCTAAACGCTTCCATAACAAATAATGTCAATCGACTTCTAAGGACCTCGTGGCAAGGAAGAGTCTTTTCTGATACAGAACGTTATATCAATACTGTGTGTAAACGCTTATCCATCAGAATATATCCTTTCTATATATACTTGGATGAATGTATATATAATATATATAATTCTTTTATAATATAATAATGTATCTATATCTTTTCATTGTAGCCCTAATACGATCAATTCTTCGGTAGTTTTGTACATGTAGCAGAGGTAGTGTTTTGGCGCAGCACCTGATTTATCTAACATCGTGATTTCATCGCACATTCGTACGTCAACGATGCACAACTGTGTGTCGAGCTAATATACTCGGAGAAACAAGGAAGGTTACTGGTGGCTGACTATATTCTTTCAACGATCGTCGTGTTGTTCCTCGGATCGAGATTGTGACGGGCGATCTTCGTGTCCTCTTGATGCTCCTTTATCAGCGCTTTCCTCGTGTGGAAACACGCCGGTCGCTGTATTCCCCGCATCTGCAAATCGTACAAAACGATCTCATCGACTGTATCTGCATGGCACGACGTAACGTAGACAATATATAATTTCTATTAACATTGCAATCCTCATAGGTTTCTCGTGACTGCCACTCAAAATATATGTTTCAAATCTGAAATCTGAGTCACAAAATTTAACACTTTTGGTAAAAAAAAAAAGAATGGGTTCCTTTTCTTTTTTTTATCGCTAATTTTTCTCTCTTATCAGTCTTTCCGAAAAGGAACAAGACAAATTTCCCAGGGACAAAACTTCAAACAAGGTATCTCATGTAAAATATTATTTAAAAATTGCACATTCCGTATCTTTTAAAATAGATGACTATTAAAAAAAAACCAAATATACAAAATACAAAAATAGATCATTATTTTGCATATCGTTATCTTGGAATAAAATTGGAAAAAAATCTTACAAAAATTACAAAAAAAAAAAGAACAAAAATTACAAAGAATTATTTAATTAATTCGAAATTTAGTATTCGATAATGAGAATATCTGAATTAATTAGACGAGCAGGCTTTCAACACGGAGTTGCGACATTTTTCCTCCCAAATTGAGATACGAACGAGCTGGCGGTGCCGGCTGAATGCAGCATTGCATGCAACCCTCGAGCATTATTCGATCGTTATACTCCAACCATTTCAATTTCTCCTCCCCCCTCTCCCTCACGCCGCCAAGAGATTCTAACGAAGCTGTTCTCGCGTTATATCCCCCGATTTTACGTCACTTTCTCTTCTGGTGCTATTCAGAATTCTCACCCCCGAAATCTCACCCCCGAGAGACCGTATGCATTCCACGCGACAGCGAGACGAGACGAAAAATGACCGAAGCGTCCAACTGGCGCCCCGGTAACTTTCAACGCGACCCCTGAGTCATCCACCGCAATTCGATCTTCGAACTATATAGCGAAACTGGACATCGCTCGTTGTCACGAGCCCCCGAAATACGCGCAAAATTCTCGTGTCTTCTCAATCCCGGGAGGCTGCCCTAAAAATCCTCCGGGACAACGAAATTCCATCGAACGTGCGAAAATCTCAACCTCCGTGTCGCCTCCGTTAAACAGCCCGACAATTCGCCCGACAGATCCGCGGAGTCGATTTTCGACCGGCGTGCGAACTGGAAGAATGCCGTAGCTGTGTCGCCGAGAATTAAATTCTCGCCTTCGATTTCTCTCAGACGTCCCGTCGGAGACGGTCGAGCCGATTGCCGGGTGCGTGCAGAGCGACGATAATCTCTCGAACGTTCCGCCGCGCCGGTCGCGAAGCTCGAATCCGCTAATCCGTTCCCTTCGGAGAAAAGGACACGACGACCGAGGGTCGCGGCCGCGCTCGGCGTGACTTCGAGACCTAAATGTCGAGGCTTAATAATGTCGAGGAGGCTTGAATTACCACGCTCCGAATCATTTTTCGTGCTGACCAGCGCGCGTCGTGTCCTGCTTCGGCACGTTGCTGGCGAGACGTCGGTGGTCACGCGGTCTCATCCGGCAGGTATGGATATACTCGCTCGGCGTTTCGAGGGAGAAATACACTCGCGTTCAAGGAGGACCAGCGGGCCAGCGGGATTCGGGATTCGGCAGCAGCACTGCCAGCACTCGGAGCCGCCGCGCGAGACGACTCGGGACGACGATGAGGTCACAACGGCGTTCTTGAAACTTTTGGCGGCCGCACCACGCTTCTCCTCGATCGGAGCGATGCCGCTCGCCGCCGCTCGGCTCAGCTCCGCGTGGGGGTGAGATATTGATCCGTCAATTTGCCCGCGAAACGCGTGCCGCACGTATGTAGGGGGATGATGCAACCCAATGACGATCAATGGACGATCCACGAGTACGGCGAGTACGGCCCGGTCGAATCCCATTGGACCCCTTTCGTTCACCCTCTTTCTCATCTTCGCGGATTTGCGCTGATTTGCAGGACGCTCGTCCACGTCCACATGGGCACTGCGAGGGCCAAGTCGAGGTGCATTAATCGTTTCGCGGTGTGTCATCGAGGTATCGATTTCGGAGTTGGAGGAAGCTCGAAAAGAT